CCCTGACATGTGCCCCGCTCTGCCCACGCAGCGCTAGACCCGCCCCTGACATGTGCCCCCGCTCTGCCGCAGCGCTTAGACCCGCCCCTGACATGTGCCCCGCTCTGCCGCAGCGCTAGACCCGCCCCTGAACATGTGTGCCCCGCTCTGCCGCAGCGCTAGACCCGCCCCTGACATGTGCCCCGCTCTGCCGCAGCGCTAGACCCGCCCCTGACATGTGCCCCGCTCTGCCGCAGCGCTAGACCCGCCCCTGACATGTGCCCCGCTCTGCCGCAGCGCTAGACCCGCCCCTGACATGTGCCCCGCTCTGCCGCAGCGCTGGACCCGGCCCTAACATGTGCCCCGCTCTGCCGCAGCGCTAGACCCGCCCCTGACATGTGCCCCGCTCTGCCGCAGCGTTGGACCCGGCCCTAACATGTGCCCCGCTCTGCCGCAGCGCTAGACCCGGCCCTGACATGTGCCCCGTTCTGCCGCAGCGTTGGACCCGGCCCTCACATGTGCCCCGCTCTGCCGCAGCGCTGGACCCGGCCCTGATTCGTGGCATCCTGCCGCCGGTGGAGATAGCCGCGTTCGCACGCAACACGATCCTGTCGCGGCGCAATCGGATTCGCGACCTGGTCAGCACGGGGGTGCCGCGGCTCGGCGTCGGCCCGCTCGACCCGTACCAGCTCGGCGAAATGCCTGTCAACTTCACCATGGACGTGATCGAGTGAGTGCCGGGCGCCGGAGCCGGCGACGGACCGCCATCTGACGGCACGCTAGGCAACCTCCCACTAGCTCGGCGATGGTCGCGAGACAATCCCCGCTATTTGGGTGGGGAAGATGCACACGTTGTCAAGAGCAGAATGGGTATACCCGTTTAATTTTTGCTGAACTCTGTGGCGTTGACCGGCAAATATCCTCAATCTGAAGAGCTGACAGCGTTTTGTTTTTGCTATCAGAGGAGCTAGTTGCTTATATTCTTAATTTCTACAACTGATCACTCCTCTTGCCCTGCAGCCGTTTGTTGCAAATGCCTGACATTGTTTCTGCGTCTGGGGACTATGGCAATTGTTATTCAACCCACTGCGAGTAACGGAGCAGCGTTTTTAGTAAAGCAGAGGAGAGAAATCGCTTGCACTATGGTTGACTGACAAGGAAAAGATTCTGATGACAGTGACGAATTACTTTTTTACCTGCTCAGTCAAACCATTCGCCAGATCATAATCCTTCAACCATACCGTATTCAACCAAAGTTCGCCAACAATTTGGACCATTTGCATCCCAGGCAGTTTGATCAAAATGACCTCTGGGATCTAAATATGACGCATAGACCATAGATTCTATGGGCGACCGGCCACATGGAAGCTAACATATTGATTTCGGAAAGCACGATGTTCAAGAAATAGACCATCAAACGATGCAGGAATGAAAAGAAAAGCAATGGAGAATGTGACCCGAGTAACAGCGGTACAAATTTTCCGTTACATTTGGCCAAAGAACTTCTTTTACTATGGAACTGGAGATCAGCCCAACGTTGAAGATGCGGTCCTTTCATAGGTGAAACTTATCCAAGGATCTAAAGCCTCCCTGCTTTGAGACTATCTCCAGGCCCAAATCTCTCCACAGCCGAGGGTTATGCCTCGTTATGCTTTTATGAGACATCGCAAGGCACGTTTTTGGGTAAACCCGCAGCAGCTTCTAACTCCCGTCAAAACATAGATCCGCATCTCAAATATTGCCTCGGCTCTGCCGCCGCACGCCGCGGTATGTGGCCCGTCGCAGCGGGGCGTGTTTGACTCGACTACACACAGCGCCGGCGAAAGCCAGACTCCCAGACCTGGCCAGACCTGCGCCGCCGACTGCACTGACTGACCTGAGTCGGCCTGAAATGACCCGAGTCCGCCTGGGATGACCCGAGTCAGCCTCAGATGACCTGAGTCGGCTTGAGATGACCTGAGTCAGCCTGGGATGACCTGAGTCGTCCTGAGATGACCTGAGCCGCGCTGATCACAGGCTGGCTGGAAACATCACGGAGGCGACGGCGCGCGGCCTCAGCGACCTACAGCTGCTGGACGCGGACGTGCACCTGCCCGGCCTGACGGTGGTGGCCGACGCGCGCATCCCGCTCGTCACCGTCAACGGCCGCTACAGTCTGGACGGCTCCTTCAGCGGCCTGTTCCCGCTTACCGGCGCCGGCCCTCTGACGTAAGTTGTTCCCCTGGCCCCTGCTGAGGTCAGGGATGTGCGGTCAGAGGTCAGAGGCAGGGCTCGCTCACAGGCGCTGGTCCCCTGTCGTGAGTTTCGGGTCGAGTTTGGCGTGGCTCGCTCACAGGCTCTGGTTCCCTGTCGTGAGTGTCGGGTCGAGTTTGGCGTGGCTCGCTCACAGGCTCTGGTTCCCTGTCGTGAGTGCCGGGTCGAGTTTGGCGTGGCTCGCTCACAGGCGCTGGTTCCCTGTCGTGAGTGTCGGGTCGAGTTTGGCGTGGCTCGCTCACAGGCTGTGGTCCCCGGTCGTGAGTGTCGTGTGCAGTTGGGCTGCCCGCCATCGCGCGCAATAACTCGGTGAGTTCTGCATCACCACGTCCGCTTAAGGATGTTTTCCGCGCTGGCACGAGCTTTCAGGTCACATGAAAACACGCCCTTCTCCCTGGCAGTGACGAGGGATGTGCAGCACGGGTAATGCTGTCAACAGTCACCCGTATTTGCAAACGTAAAGCAAGCTGTGCATGCTTTAGCGCTGCAAATTCCTAGAAGCCATCTCAAGAAGTGTTGTAAACGGCGCCATTTTCCGCTGACACTGCTGATGTCATCAGTCCGGTCACCGGTGATCAGTGTGATGTCTCACTAAATCAGCGGAATTAGTAACGCATTACGGCTCCGCGCCGTGTCATGGTGTCAGCCTTGGGCCTGGGCTGGCTGCCTTAATGTGGCGTTGCCTACCGCAGGCTGAAGCTGAAGGACGTAGACATCAAGCTGGTGGTGCAGGTCCGCCTCTACTACGACCGGCTGCACATCACCCGCGTCGATTTCACACTGGGCATCGGCAACACCACGGTCAGTGCCGAGACGATCCGCCGCGGCTGACGCGAGCACGACTCCACGCTATTGCACCGCGCTTGAGCCAATCCCATGCCCGAGATGAGTCGCCTCCATGGTCGGCCTGCCAGACGCGCGTTTTGTCGCCTCCATGGTCGGCCTGGCAGACGCGTGTTTTTTACGCTACGGCGAGCGTAAGCCGGTTAGTGTTGAGAAAGCTGGACGAGCGAACGGGTTACGCGTGGTGTAACCGGACGCGGAGTCATCCGGCGGTCTCCGCGCTGGACGCAGAGTCATCCGGCTGGCTCCGCGCTGGAGGCCGGACGCGGAGTCATCCGGAGGGCTCCGCGCTGAAGGTCGGCCCAGCCGTCGGCTTCAGTCCCGGCCGGGATTTTGCCAGCGCTGCGGATGCCCGTGCGCCGGTCGGTGTCCCCGACACTCCGTTCAGGCAGCGACAGATGACCCCGTCAGATATACAGCTCAGCCCTGATCAAAGATGTCGTCCCGTCATGCGAGGGAAAGCGATTGGCCCGCGCGCGCTGACAACTGACTGATAGCAAAAGTTCACCCTGGACTGTATGCTGATGTGAAGGGTAGCCGCGTGCAGAGACGGATAGCTCGGCGATTGCTTCCTTTGGAGTGCGTCCGGCATAGCATAATAGTTGTCGGGTGGTCAAGCTGGTGCGCGCCACGTAATTACGTGTAGCCGTTGCGGCTTAGTCCGCTTCTGCGACATGTTACGTCTTAACTGAATATCAACTGGAAATGACAATTGGTTTTACATCCCCGATACGTCGAGCATTACAGGCGTGGACTCCAAAAGTGGTGTGATCCAAACATTTTCAAACACAAGGTACTTTCAACAGAAAATCATGCGTGCGGAAGGAGTGCTGTTAGTACACAAGCAGCAGGACGCGCGTATGGCTGTGGAAGTGTATTCATTGTAATTGCTAGCTTTTACAGTTATCGTTCGTGATTTATGTAGCGACTTACCGGTAGCTCATCATAAAACGGCGCAGTATCTAGGAGTATCCGTACAATGTTCGAATATCCACAGAACCCACCCGGGCCCGCGATGATCACTGCTTTTCGACTCTTTGCTTTCCTTACTCGACAGGTTTCATCGAAGGTGTTTGTTTTCAGGTAAATCTTGAGGGATTCTTGAAAGAATCTGGTTTTGGGGATCTCGCCCAACAGTTCTTGGACAACATGTCTGGTGACTTTCTACGCAACTTCATCAAAACTTTCCGAGAGGAGAGACTTCCCTCATTGGTTATGCGAGGAAACAAGTTCCTGAGGGACTTCGAATGGAGAACCATGCTGCCCAATTTTGTGGCGTTGTATCTCGGGTAAGTTTAGCTAGACATTTTTGATACTCGCCGGCAAAAAGGATACGTAAATAATGCGACGGAGGCAAATAGCTTCACGCATCTCGTGTCTCTCTGCTCTGGCTGCGGCTGGTATCGTTTGATGAATGTCATGTGATCTGCAGCATTAGGTGCGCTTTGATAAACCTACTTGAGTCGTGCATCTCGTTCCAGCGAGAGAGGACTCGTCCCCAGTCCAGCATCCCATGCGGCTTGCGGTGCTTGTCTAGTGACGACAATAGGCAGCCACGTGCTCTATCAGATTTCTACAGAACAGCATGCCTGTCCATCGCCACCGGCCCCTAACCCGCGCCGCCGACTACCGTCGTCGGTTGACACCGTCTGTCGTGACCTTGCCCGCTGTCCCTCACTTCATCCGCGACTGTACCCCAGATTTGATGACGACTCCGGGAGCTACCACCACGACTATCTGCCCACCATCACCAACAACCACCTGGTCGACCGCATCATAAGCCAGCTCAGCAACAACCTGCGCGGCAGGCGGGTCGGCCTGCCCATGCAGGACATCATCGCCAGGAAAAAGGTGACATCCGCCGACGACTGACATTGTTCACAGCGCTGTCAGGCGCATCTTACCGACGGCTGCCATCGTTCACAGCGCTGTCAGGCGGTCTTACCGACGGCTGGGGCTACTTCTAAGGCTGCTCAAAATGGCGCTTGACCGAACAGGTCGGAGCTGCAGACCAGCTGCCTCTGCCAGCTGTATACTGGGCGCTGCGAGCGGGTCAGAGCCGCAGACCAGCTGCCTCTGCCAGCTGTATACAGGGTGCTGCGAGCGGGTCAAAGCCGCAGACCAGCTGCCTCTGCCAGCTGTATACAGGGTGCTGCGAGCGGGTCAAAGCCGCAGACCAGCTGCCTCTGCCAGCTGTATACAGGGTGCTGCGAGCGGGTCAGAGCCGCAGACCAGCTGCCTCTGCCAGCTGTATACAGGGTGCTGCGAGCGGGTCAGAGCCGCAGACCAGCTGCCTCCGCCAACTGTAGAGGACGGTGCTATGTTTGTGGGACTGTGAGCTGGCCACCATCTACGACCCTTTGCAATTACGAAGTGGAGTCCACTCGTGTGTGTCTTGTGTGGAGTGCTCGTTCGTATATAATCCCTATGTTACCCACAGGTTTTGTGGAAGTGGTTCAGAAACGGAGTCCAGCTTTTCCACGGCCAGCTGTTTGGTCTACAGAACATGAAACGCGTCAGCAACGCTCTCATCTCCCGGCACAAGGAGTATTTTACATTCACCATTGAAATCGGCGCCCACCATCTTAAGGTAATGACAGCAGCCTCGAGAGAGACGATGAGTGCACAGCCACAACGCATTACCCCGCTGTTACGTTGTGCTGGTATGAAAAAACACCAATCTGCCCACTCGCTATATTGGAGTGAACTTTAAGCTCAACCTGTTCTCACACTACGGGCAGGAATGTGCAGGACATGTGATGTCACATTCCCCTTGTGATATTTGGTGCCGAAACTGCACACTCGCCTGCCAATCATTTGTAGCTAAAGAGCCCGTACCGGTATACGTAACAGGCTCTTTTCTATTGCTCACAGTGACGAACACGTCATGTAATGCTCACAGTGACGGACACGTCATATATTGCTCACAGTGACGGACACGTCATATATGCTCACAGTGACGGACACGTCATGTAATGCTCACAGTGACGGACACGTCATATATTGCTCACAGTGACGGACACGTCATATATTGCTCACAGTGACGGACACGTCATATATTGCTCACAGTGACGGACACGTCATGTAATGAGCGTTAAAAGGCAGCGTGTTCTTATGAGCATACACACCATGTAACTTTCGCCCTAAAATGTTTTGGAACCAAGGTGAGGGTACTCAGGGTGGTCTAAGCCATCAACCTTAAGGCACCCGTGCCGCTTAATGCTATTTGGCATCTTGCGTAGTGAGTGATGTTACCAGTTTCAACACTGCTGCAGCGTCGGTGAAAAGGGGCCTCCTTTTGCCCCGATGCATGCAGCCCGGTGTTTCCCCTCACTGGCATTCCCAACACCGGCCCCGCAAATTCCACCGCAAATTAATAGATTTAAGGTATCTATCTATACCGTCGGGCCACCTATCGGTGGACCCACATACTGAGTGTAACTTATCCACCAGGCAGCGTACAAGTCCCAGCTGGTTATAATGAACAAGCTGAAGAAGTTTGTGCTGTGGGCGTTTATCTCAAAGCTGAAGCTACGTGTTCAGCTGCAGCTAGATGCCGAATACATGGAACTCTACCTGACTGGCCTGGACATCCTGCACATTGGGTAAGCGGCATTCGGCTTAGTGAACGTGGGCTCTCAGAACGTAATCAGCCTGCCAAAACACTTCGTTTTGCATCACGCTACATACAGCAGCCTAAATGTCCAACATTTCAGGGTGATGGCCCGGACGTGGATTTGTGTTCAGCTGGTGAGGGGCGGATTCTAGGCAAAAAAGTGCAGTCACCCCTTCTCCCCAACGTTGAAAGGAAGTAGATAAAATCCGTCGGGAAGCTGGTGTCAGAGTGAAAATAGGACGGGTCTATTAGCTATTTTCACCAAGCCTTAACGGTTCCCTCGGGCCGGTATAAGAGCATTATGCATGTGTGAAGCTCACCAGCCCTACACGTTTTGCTCCAACCAGCCTCTTAGTCTTTCTCAATCCGCAGTGAAATCCACTTGGAGCTGTCGGGACTGGGCCCACTCGACGCCGTCGCCACCAACCTGGCCGAGAGACAAATCAACAAAGAGGTCTCAAAGCGCCTGCTGGCCCGGATGACGGCTCGTGACGCGCGCGACGCCGTCGCCAAGCTGCTCAAGGACGTCGACCTGAACGCCGTGCTGGCGGAGACCATCAATGGCGAGGTGTACGCGCGCGATCCGGGCATCGTGTTTCCCGACCCCGAGCCCACCGGCAACGGCACCGACTTCAGCAGCCTGCTCGAATCGGTGCTGGGAGCCGACAGCGACGGCGAAGACGGCGGCGGCGGCCTCGGCCCGCTCATCGGCCTTCTCCTGGGCGCCGGCGACGACGACGACGACGACGGCATGACGGGAGCGGCGGCGAGCGGCAACATGACCGACGGCGATGACGAACTGGCCGGCGTCGACCCGGAGATCCTAGCCGCCTTCGGGCTGAGCGATTCCGGCGGCGCCTCCGCCGGTGACAGCGACGCCACGACTGCGGCCCCCGCTGACGAACTTGCTGACGTCGACCCGGAGATCCTGGCCGCCTTCGGGTTGACGAGCGATTCCGGCGGCGCCTCCGCCGGTGACAGCGACGCCACGGCTGCGGCCCCCGCTGACGAACTTGCTGACGTCGATCCTGAGATCCTAGCCGCATTCGGGTTGACGAGCGATTCCGGTGGCGCCTCCGCCGGTGACAGCGACGCCACGGCTGCGGCCCCCGCTGACGAACTTGCTGACGTCGATCCTGAGATCCTAGCCGCCTTTGGGCTGGGCTCATCCAATGTCGAGAATCCGGCGCCGGCAACAGCACGTGAAGAAGGCACATCAGCGGCGGATGCGGACTCACTAGCTGGCGCCGACATCAGGGCCCGTGTGCCAGATGCCGACACAGGAGGCTCGCTTGCTGGCGTAGATGCAGCAACGCGGGGAGCATTTGGCCTAAGTCCAGAAGCTCCTGCCGCGGACGTAGCCGGTGTGGCCGCAGCGGAGACACCAGGAGGCGACCAGTCACCAGCGGATTCAGACGCTTTGAGCGACGTCGACCCGGAAATACTGGCCGCTTTCGGGCTGGACCCGGCTGAGCCTGCTGGAGGCGCCGGCGACGTCGCGGGGGCGCTGGACGGCGTCGTCGACGCAGACGGTGAGCTGGCGGCGACGGCGGCGGCCGGTGAGCTGCAGGAGCTGCTGAGGCTCGCGGGGGACTCGTCCGTGCTCGCCATTGGCGACGGCGCTGACGCTACGGCCGGCACGTTCGGAGACAACGCGTTCTTCGACGAGCCGGGCACTGCCGCCGGTGAGCCGGCCGCCACTGAGGACAACAATTCGTTTTTCTCCTCGAGGAGGAGGAGAGTCGGTTGACATCCAGGAGTCGACGGCGGAAGTTGCCGTCCTAGCCGCTGACCTGTGATCGACCGCTTTGCCGCGCCCGTACGCCCGACGTCGAGGCGGATGTGCAGGGCCAGGACGAGTGGCCCGAGGCGGGTCGAGGACCAGGCACCGTCAAGTCACCCTCAGTCCGCCCGAGCGCCTATGTCACATGGCCCGACCTCGGGAGGTGGGCAGACGTTCCGGGTCATCGTCTCGTGCGCGTCGTGATGTGATCATGCTGAACATCCTATAAGAGGAGAGCGGATTGCTCTGGTCGTGATCTCTATGCTCAAATAGCGGAGGATGTAGTGCCGTCTAGTACCAGAGCGGCGCCGAGCCGCTCTTTCGCTGTCCCGTTCAGCGTCTGCAAGGGCTTAATCAATGCCAGATGCCAAAGACCCTCGCATACCTGAGAGAAGCCCGTTCAAACATGTGCCACAAAGCTAGCAATATGTTGTCGCGTCAGTGAAGGTTGTAGCGACGTCCCTGTCCAACGCGTTGTTCATAGGTGATCTGTCCATTATGAAAGGATGCGGACATTTCAGTGATGTTTGCCAGGTGTGAAGGACTCGAGTCACCCGATTGTCGCCCCAGCGCATAGGGCGTTGTCAGGTGTAAGGGTGTTTACTGCTCAGCCCATATTACAGTGTCGAAGTGTACTGGTCAAGGAGTGTGGAACAGGGTTGGAATAAACATTAATACAAGACGTACACCACATCCTGTCCTGTTATTTCTTCACGTTTCTGGTGCCAGGTGATCTATTAGTTGCAATATTTGCGGTCAGAATCATTTCGTTGCCTACATGCATAGCTTGGCTATGCGTTGATGGAAAATTTCATGTAACTCAAATTTATGATTATTTTCATGTATTACTGCGAGGGAATGATATACAATAAGACAGGTCTTGAAAATTTGGTTTTTAGTCGCCGTGTGTTCTTATGTGGAGCATAAACGCTTTCGCATACAGCCAACCATGACCCAAGCCAGCGCTAAGGAAATGAGGCGCATATTTTCAAGTTGTAAAAGTATTGTATATAGATTAGTTTTTGGCATTGCACACCAACCGAAAAGCTGCAAATGAATCTGGGTTTGTGCATCGCATGCTTGCACTAGGTGAAACAGCTCACTGGAAACTGAATTATTCAAACAAATATATCAAAACATAAGTAAGATGCATCCCATCCAGATCCACGCTTCAACATCCAGAAATCCAACGACACAGTGCGCTAATTAGACGCTAAATTACTTGAGTAACATTGATAGCGACATCAAACCGCACACTTCATATCATTGCTACTCTCAGCTCTATGGAAAGCGGGACATCGTTAACGGCTGCACTTGGATACGCAAAGCTAAGGCAGTGGGTTTCATGCAGTGAGTTTCACCACTGCGTTATTGGTTTATCTGGGCAACAAGAGCACACCTTTTCAGCGCCAGCGACTCTAACAAATAGCAAAACAACTCGGTTTTTGCTCTCTGCGTCTCCTAGCGCAGACAAAAACAAAGTTGCAATGCGTCATTTACTAAACAACCAAGGTTCATATTAGTGCATTGAGCACACGCTTAGCTCTCGCCCGTGCCATCAGTTTCGATGCCGCCTGAAGCTTTGCCCCAGCGGCGGGAGGCGTCAGGATCAGGAGAGAACACCATGCGGATCCGATCAACCTGGAAGGTGCTGGAACATACATTACCAGAAGGGAAGTGATCGCTGCTTGTCTGGGCAAACGCAAGGGATCTACCGCTATGTTTGGGATTCTGCCACGCTGCATGGATGCACACTTGAAGCAAACATTCAGTTGATTGAGTTCACTGAACGGCTTCTCCACGCTGTAGAGGCGCTGCAAAAGCAGCAATCATTGACTCTGTTTTAGGTGTCCCCTAGGTAACAGAATACATCCAGCTCTGGTTTGTCAAAGTCTGCAGGCCGGGCGAGTCGAACATGTCTGTGAGAATATTTCCGAGTCGAGGGGCCCAGCCCATCCAGGTTGTCCCACCTACTGGCGAGTAATATCTTTGTAACCACCGATCGCATGCCCACACATATGTGAACATTAGAGAGCTCAATACCCCACCTTTTCAGCACTGTTCATCCATAGTGAGATAAGACTTAAGCAATTTTGACGGCACTATCAGTGTTCTCAAATTTTTACCGAAAAGCCAGAAAATTGATTTAAAGTAGCCGCTCCGACGGCAGAAGTGCCATTGGGCTCCCTGCCCACCACTATGAATGCAGCACTTTTCATTTCCTTTTTTTCCAATCGCGTTATGTAACGTTCACAGCGCACTTAATGACCAAACTGTTTGTGCAATATATGATGTGCGAGCTCGAATCCCCCTATGCAGGACAAATATTCATATGTGAGGCCCTTATCATTCGAATTAAGTGAACCATCATACTATGACTTGGAACTCTCCCCTTTTATATTTACCAGAATATGACACTTTTCGAAGCGCACTTAAGCTTTGGGGAAGCCTCGTTTGCTTGGATGCTCAACTCGCCGCAAGGCTGTGTTTATAAAACAGGAAACAACCAGCGACATATCACGCGGTCTACTGACGCACGTTTTCAAACATTCCTAAGTGACCTAGCTACATCGCTTGCACCGCCCGCTGGGACAATCAGTATGCTTCCTTTCCGCTGATGCTGCTCATATGCATCAATAGCAGAACTGTTTTGACTAACACACCTCAGTTTTACGAAAAACCTTATTAAGTTTTTGTCGAGCCCAGGACTGAGTGATATTTGTGGATGGCACAATCGATGGAGTAGCTGGATACAAATAACCTTACATAAGAATATGATCATGCTGTTTGAAAGCCGATTTTGTCTTCATCATGAACATTTCCATGTAAATCTTAAACGACATCGATCTGAACCATCCACATACAGTCGCAAAGGCTGCGGCGATTATCTCGCTTGAATGTCTTGTTGCTACTAGTCAGAATCTTCCATTAAAAAATGAGATATGAGGCTACAAAAAGACAAAAATGCAATGCTGTGTTAAATCTCTGGCCACTTAACTTCAACTCGAAATCAATAAAGATGTACTCACTCCTTAATAATTGCACCCTGTTGGTTTTACAATGCACCACAGTAATGTCACAATAATAATACCACTTATCAGTGGTAGCATCAGGTATTCCTAGTCCTTTGGTTTCACCAGGGCATGTTTTGAAATGTATTATCAATGTGGCACACTATCTTTAAAAATTATTCCGCATAAGCTGTTGTGCATTTTCGTGCAAGACATTGGAGGGCCAGCTTTTCCTGCAAACTTGCAGTAAAATCATGATTTCATATCCCAATGGGATTACCATAGAGAACGAGTACTTTCCAACTTAAAAGCTGAATAACACGTGTCGATGCCGGGTTTAGATCTCGTCGACCTGGCACCACAAAAACATGAGGCTAATATGCTCTGACCGAGGGGCAAACGGACAACCGTATCAACAAAACTGGGTGTTGATGCGCGCTTTGGCCGTTTTGGAGCGTCTGTTAAGATGAAGCCTACAACGAAACAAATCACGACACGAAACCAACTACTCAGTGCAGGAGCGTGTCCCGAACCCCGACTACAACTCACTAACGAATCTCAAAATTACCAGGCTCATAGGTTCGCCGGTGAGCAGTCTGAAAACGGTCTGTGAAGCGCTTCACAGGCCATGTAAGGCCATTGGTGTCCGTAAGGAATGGATAAGGCCTGGGTTAAGCGCAGATTTGGGAACAATTACGGGCATGGGTACAGAAGGGCAAGGCGTTTACAAAATGTCGGCTAGGTGCCTTAAGGAATACTGTACATTATTACAGCTTGTACTTACCTTGGTCGATATCAGCCCCATTCACTTTTTGTTGGGTGAAAACGTGCTTATTTTGACGAGTAGCAAGTTTAATTTCTAAATAGTTGTATCCCATGTTAAAGAGTTCGTATATTGAGCAGCAAAGTGGTTATGAACAATTAAATGATGTCCAAAGAAGATGGACTTTGCAAGCGTTTTCCTATATTTGAGTAATATTCCAACCAAAAATATCCTTGACAGGCACGGGCTGCGGCCGGTGGCAGCGGCCGCACTTAAGGTCACGTGGTTTCGAAGGGCAGAACCGACCGTGTCGAGCATTGCGGCACGTTAAACTTTCGTTAACAAATTTTGTCGTTGATCTGAAATTTCACGATGGGATGATAGGGGTCAGTACTCACGCGACAAGCACTGCTTAGCGTGAGGTCCGATCCCACAAATCCATCGATGAAAAGTCCGGATTACATCTGTACAAAGAAATGTTTCGCAGGCAAGACAACGCTGGTAGGGGGGGGGGGGGCGAACTCAACACTAATGGGGGAGGGGAGCAGGACGCTCGCAAAGGAAAACAGATCGACACCCCTGCTGCAGTCGTTCGTCATGAGCCAACCTCTCAGCCACATAGTTGGAAATCGCCGCCGAGCTACTGCATAAAGCCCGAAGACGGGCTCGTTTGTCTCTCCATGGTGGAGACAGCCCCAATAGCCGCAGGGCTGCCCCGCCGCTCACCTCTCCTCGATTCCACAGCCCTGAAATGATAAATGCTGGCGTAAAGAGTTCTGACTAACCCAAAACGAATTAAAAACAGTACTTGGTGTGTCCTGACGTGCACACCATCTGCCGGCGAATGAAATAAACAATATATCAACCGTCAGATGGCGGGTCCACGCTAGTGCATATTTCAAACTGTCAATCGAGCCCCAACAGTGGCAGAGAACGTATGGCACATCCCCCTCCCTCTCTCGCTCTTCTGTGCGCTCTTTGTTCCTTTCTCTACTCTCCTGGCGGTGGAGAAGGCCCAAAATTGTACTTCTCTTCTTTCGTCGTATCGTTCCACAGCATAACGGGCGACTACAGATTGGCTAGTTTTATAGGCACGTACTCATATCAAGTTTGTTTCCTACGTTGCGTTGGTAATCCATCTAATTCGTCTTTGAATGCCAATGCTTCCGTCTTCTCACGGACTATGGTTACTTGGCATATGGCTTCTTTGCTCCTTTTCTTCTTTTATGCCGCGTTAGCTGAGTATTGTAGCGTTTCACCTTATGCATATTTTGAGCAGCGGTCTCATCGAGCTGGTTTTTATCAACCCTATCCACGAGACATGCAGCAAATCTGCCTTAAGGTCGATGTGGGCCCCCTTCTCGCCTCTAATCTGTGCTCGTTTTGCTCAGACAGACTTTGACAGGAGAGATCGCATACGAGGGCGCATGGTATGAACTAGCTGTTTATTTAGATACACCACCAGTAAAACGGAAACGACACCTTTATGTGCAAAAAGAGCAAATACAAAAAGTAGGCTTCTTCTAGCCAACGAGTCTAGGCCTCCAGCACTTTGATGCGCTCTGATTTTGTGGCTATGGTGATTCGAAAAGCTCTTGAAGTCACTTCTAAATCCGTATCGTGTATAGGACCTTGAGGAAGACCTTAAGAAGTTTCACATGTCGAGATCTTGGAGGCATCAGATATCATGAAACAATCTCACTTAAAACTAAAGGTATGCTTTTTACGTGGAAACGGCTGCTCAAGAAAGCACAATTCTATGCTTAGTAAGCATACTCCTCAATGCGTCATGGTTTGATCACGCCAGCGTACTTTGAACACATTGATTAAGAGCCAACTGACGGCCATTTTATCTGGAAATCGCGCTCACGAACGCCAGATATAAACGCCTCGACAATTGCATTTTTGGGCCTTGATACCACATGGCTTTGTTATGAATGCCAGGATTTCAATGACGTTATTATGGTGTCATGAATGCCAAGGTGGCTTTGAAATGCTCTCCCTGATGCACCTCTCCCCATTTTCGTGGGCGAAACTGGTGCAGGCGAAAACTGGTATAGCTCGAAAACTGGGTAGGCTTAGGTCTTAAGAAGGGCAGGGTCGTAAACAGCACGGAAAGTTCTCCAAGATGGCTGTTTCAGCTCAAAACCCAAATAAATGTAGAACATCCCCTTTAAGAACGAAAGTTAATTCAAGCATTAACGAACGAAAATCTTTGGTTTCAGCGTTACATTCCCCTCCGGCACAGCTCCATATTACTGGCGGTTGTTAAACATAGTAGCTGGTGGGAGACACATCTGGCAGTATTTTTGTGACAATTACCCCACGATCAAGCGGACTCGCTGCATGTTGTTTGGCGAGCGGCGGCTCAGGTGACATGACCCAGCCTCATTTTTGTTCCGTGCCATCTAATTTGCACTGTGTGGGGATAACCGTAATTGCTTTTCTCGCATGCGTTTTAACTATCATGCATTGACTACCGTATATTCTGGATACATTGCGGATACCGTATTGTGCTGTCATGTCGTGACGTGACGCCATTTTACCTATCGAATGGAGGTGCCTAATAAACATATTTGTATTTGCATCTTTATCTATGTATGAAGTACCTATAACAGGAAAATATGGTGACATCGCAAAACTCGCCATGTCTGGACCCGCTCATAACCAGACTCTTGTAACTCCCTTCCAATATTAATCTTACACCTCACCACAGATGCTAGTAGCACGTTTTATTGTCACGCGAATGCGACTTGAACGAAAACCAATCCTAGCGTAGTTTGAATGTCAGGCTTCGTTTAGCCCCAGCCAACACGGTCCAAGGTTCTCAATGCAGCCAGCAGAGCATGACAGTGGAATAGGCTGCCACAAGGACCACTACAGGTTCTTCAAGATGTCCAGCAGATCGATCTGAGCCAGGGTGTCACCGACCGTGCTGAAGAGCGCGTTGGAGACGGCGTCAGCGATCTGATCGCTGAAGATGGTGGCCACGAGGTCGATCAGAGGCTCCATCAGCCAGAAGAAACGCCCCAGGCCACTGAGGTGAACTCGAATCGCCCTGCCGCAGGCGCAGCAGCTTGTGACACACTGCCGGGGCACTGCACAACGCTCGGTGGCGCGGCAGCTCGTGCCACACTGCCAGGGCATACAGGACGCTCGGTGGTGCAGCTGCTCGTGCCACACTGCCAGGGCATACAGGACGCTCGGTGGTGCAGCTGCTCGTGACACACTGCTGGGGCATACAGGACGCTCGGTGGCGCAGCTGCTCGTGCCACACTGCCAGGGCATACAGGACGCTCGGTGGCGCAGCTGCTCGTGCCACACTGCCAGGGCATACAGGACGCTCGGTGGTGCAGCTGCTCGTGACACACTGCCAGGGCACACACGACGCTCGGTGGTGCAGCTGCTCGTGACACACTGCCAGGGCATACAGGACGCTCGGTGGCGCAGCTGCTCGTGCCAGCACTGCCAGGGCATACAGGACGCTCGGTGGCGCAGCAGCTCGTGCCACACTGCCAGGGCATACAGGACGCTCGGTGGTGCAGCACACGTGACACACTGCCGGGGCATACACGACGCTCGGTGGTGCAGCTGCTCGTGCCACACTGCCAGGGCATACAGGACGCTCGGTGGTGCAGCAGCTCGTGACACACTGCCAGGGCATACACGACGCTCGGTGGTGCAGCTGTTCGTGCCACACTGCCAGGGCATACACGGACGCTCGGTGGTGCAGCAGCTCGTGCCACACTGCCGGGGCATACACGACGCTCGGTGGTGCAGCTGCTCGTGCCACACTGCCAGGGCATACACGACGCTCGGTGGTGCAGCAACTCGTGCCACACTGCCAGGGCACACAGGACGCTCGGTGGTGCAGCTGCTCGTGCCACACTGCCAGGGCATACACGACACTCGGTGGCGCAGCAGCTCGTGACACACTGCCAGGGCACACACGACGCTCGGTGGTGCAGTTACTTGTGACACACTGCCGGGACGTACATGAAGCTCGGTGGTGCAGCAGCTCGTGACTCACTGCCAGGGCACACACGACGCTCGGTGGTGCAGCTGCTTGTGACACACTGCCGGGACGTACACGAAGCTCGGTGGCGCAGCAGCACGTGACTCACTGCCAGGGCATACACGACGCTCGGTGGTGCAGTTGCTTGTGACACACTGCCGGGACGTATACGACGCTCGGTGGCGCAGCTGCTTGTGACACACTGCCGGGACGTACACGACGCTCGGTGGCTGCGCTCGTCATGCGACAGCTGCCTTCTGACACTTTGGAGCTACTACGTTTGACCCTACTAGACGGAAAGTGCAGAACATATATGCGGGACTTTGTAAGAATATTGCTGTCCAAGAGGTGAATTTTGGTGCTAATTTATTACTCTCAGATCCTTACAGGTTCGGTAAGTTTTTGCTTGCAGTGCACATTAAAAAGGCCAGTGCTATGAATGTTATGTAAAATAAATAAAAATGAGTATCATAATACATTTGTTACATATCGCAATGCAGTGCAAGAGAGGTCTGCAATGTATACTAATGAACATGGGTAACATTAAGGCAACAAGTGTAATCTTACACAGAATGGTGAAAGGCAGCGCAGCAACAACCAAATGGTTGATAGCGAAAAAACATGTCTGAGCTGACAAAACTAACTGAAACAGATGTGTTCTGATTAAGCATAGTGAGGTGAGAACTCAGCTTGAAATACAAAACCGTAGGCACCCAACTGCGCAAAAAAAAAATGCTGACTAGCTGTAGTGACCCATAATACTCAGCGCATTACCCGTTCCTATATCAGGTCCAACAGGAATATTCCAGATAACCGGAGAGCTGGATCTTCCAATCAGTTTCATACTTTTATGCCTGATCCGACCGCACCTTGAAATGAGCCCGAAAATCTTCAGCCAGTTGACGTTCCAAAGGATAGCATATAAATATCTGTACTTTGCTCACTATCCTCGCGCCGTTTCATTTTTGAATTTCACGCCCCGCTGTCGTAATGCGCCGCCGCCTCATCAAAATCTGTTCTCTCTGCACCTTGACAACATTTCATTCTCCTTGTACCGTCGCATCGCCGCCGACTGATAACATTGATTTTACAACCATTTGGAAACATGTTTACGGCTCAGAGCTCACCACAATCCATCTACCCTCGTGGTAAGCCGCACAAACAACAGGGGAAAGAACACATTTTGTTGTGACTGACGCTTCAGTGAGGACGCATTTTAGTGTTGGTGCTATATTCATGAACTAAAAAGGGGGCACTTAAAATAAAACGAAAAACTGCAGTTTTCAGAATCTGCAGATTGTGGTACCAGGTGTCGACGTTGAGTGATTTTCCACAGAAGAACTTCTTGATTTTTTTACCAAGACAGGTAGACATCTATATAATGCTTAAACAGGCAATGCGATCTGGATCATGAAGTGTACTTTTGTGCTGGAAAGTGTAGTTTTGTGCCGCGTCGTTAGCCTCACCCTATATCAGTAATGACCAGCTGGTTAAGCTGAATGGCGAGCGTTTCTGAAGAGATGCTGGCTGTGAAGCGAGCCCTGGTGCCGCTCAGTTTGATGTCTGCCGTCACGTGCGGTCCGATGCCGAACACCTCCACCTTGATGGTGTACCAGCCCTGCAGCCGGTTCAGCGCCATGCCCGTGTCGACGGTGAGCCAGCGCCCGTCCGAGTCGTATGAGAAGGTGGACGTGCCCGGTTCGAGAGCAAGAGGAGAGGCCCTCCAGTATGCCGCGGTACAGCTCGACACCTGTGCCGGGTAGCACCTGCCGGCCGGCGGCACACGGCGCTTCCGACACGGGCTTATGATCTGTCGGCTACTGTCACGCAGCAGTCCGGGTATGTACACGGAGCCTGTGTGATTGAGAGTTTCCCAGGCAGGGGCAGCACCCGCTGACCGCAGTCGCAGCGCTCCACGTGAGGGGGAACCTGCCAGTCGTTGCCAAAAGTCGTTTCGCATACAGGAACAGAGCCTTCTGACCGCCATCGCACAGCGCTCCACGCTCAGAGGCAGGGTCGGCAATTGTTGGCAAAAGACACTTTATCGCACACGGACTGCAGATGTTGACTGACGCCTCAGCGCTTCAGACACAGTGTCGGAGCTCGCAAATGGTTGTCACACGACACCTTACACATAGGGACAGAATCTGCAGACTGTTATCATACGGTGCTCCACACGCAGAGATACAACCTGTTCACTGTCAACGCAACCTGCTTTAGTCACTCAGTTCAAGGTCGCAGGCAACCAGCTCAGTATCTTCACACAGGCACACCGACCGCCCGGCCGGCCACCGTCACACTGCGCTTCAAACCAGCACGCTCACATGCATACCAGCATGCAGACATGCACATCCGCCGCCGCCGCCGACACACGTGTGCGTGCTTATCCAATCGTATGCGTGCCATCTGCAAGCCAGTGTAACGGCCATGGTGCAAACTGCACCCAGCGAGCGAGGCCATCGAAGGGACACATTAAAACACCAGTTGTGGTAAAGCTGACAAGACACCTCACCTCTTTCCACAGTCACTTCGATTCAACTTACAGCTCATTGGTAACCACAGCCTAGCAAAGTACGTGACGAAGCTGCAGTGGATAGAAGACTCCACGGATCACGCGAAATCGTGATCTGAATTTGAGTTACCGTTGCTTCGATGACTGGCAAAGGCAGTGGATCCAGACCATGTTGAAGGATGTACGATTGAAGATACGGCATGAAGCGGTCGAAGAATCCGTCGGCATTCGCACTACTTCCCACCAGGTTGGCTGCAGTTTCGCTGTCATCAAAGCGCGATAGGAGGTCAACGAGCTAGTTGGTAGTGCGGAAGCAGGACGTACGATAGTGGACCTTTGCGTGCTGAAAACTGTGTGAGACTCTGGGAGACAGTCGCTAAAAGCTACGAATTTATGTGGAACTTATTAAACAAATTGGCCTACCACAGAATCACTTTTGAGTTAGCAGGCGGCCGGGTGGTCGGTTGAATACAATGGACTCGAGCGGGGTGGGTGGGTGGTGGTGGTGGTGTAAGGGAGGGGTTTGATCCGTCCATGAAATATCAAAAAGTGATATGAGCTGTTAACTTCAAAGATATCCAGGTGCAAACTTCTGCTTAATTAAGGTCACATAAGGTGAAACTCGAGATCAATGCCAGAAGCATCCTCAGACCTTCGCACTCAGCCAGCTGTCTTAGGTAGCTTTTCTTAACAAAATATACCGTAGTCATTTTAGGTCAGTGACCCAGGCGGAATTTTAAAAGGTTGAAATGACCTTCGATATCATTTTGATTTTAACTTCCAAAATGATATCAAGAACTACGAAAGGTGGCAAGTTCCTCAGAGCAAAATGTTTATCGAGGCCATGCCAGGTGAGTGACTTCTTGATCTCCATAAAGTCAGCGTAGCGAATTTGTTGACGTCCTGTGATCAAGTACTTTAAAATTAAGCGTTGAAAACTACCGCAAAAAGCATGTTTTCCAGTCAAATGTTGTTTGGTTTTGACATGCTTTGGACATCACATTTTACCCAAGGTAAACAGCGTTTGTTGCAACCCTAATAACGATTATTTCGTTGTCTAAAAACCCATCTCAAAGTGCATGATTTTGTCTAACATTCTGTGGTCACATGAGCTTGAAAGATTCCCTAATTACCTTTGAAAACATCAATCAACTGACGTTGATTTACTGCAAGGCAGTGATCTGCAGAGACATGTTATTTATTGCACCAAAAACCATTTTGATGTTATCAATTAGAGCTATGCAAATTTTGACCACTTGGAAATTATTTCGGAAAACCTTAGGAGATATCAAATTGATCGTACCCCCAACCCCCCACCTGAGCGCGTGCTAAATATGAAGACCTTGACCATAGCAGTAGAGCAGGTGACTAATGCACGTATCGTATTAAGTGAGTGGTATTTGGTTTATCCCTGATTTCGATGAGCATTTCCTTGACTAGTTCCTGCCCAGAAAATGGCAGCAATGGGAGAGTGATCGATCTACCGTGGGATAAACGCTGTACTAACGAGCGCCCGCGGCGGTAGATTCCAAGATATAAGTCGCCATTAAAAAAGATCCTTGGACTCGGAGACTCCCCCTGTGGGGGGGGGGGGGGGCCTGCTCTGAGTCACACCGTCTGCCTACGTACTACGGCGGGTGTGCTGACAGCTAGCAAGTGTTCCAGACTGTACCGCAATTGTAGTAAACGATAGAAGCTTCTGTCATGCGCAGCGCACGCAGAGATGTTTCGTGCATGATCAACAGCATCTTAGCAGAAAAGTTTGTCACAAATTTCATTATTAAAAGCATGGACAATTTTTCCGCGTGGTTTGCTGATTGCTATACCAATGGGATATCGAAATGAGAAAGAGGGTACAAGTGACGGAAAGAGAGGGGGAGAGAAAGGTGGAGAACACTCCAAGGACGTATTGCCCCCAGTGATGCTGTCAGACCCATTCCAAACTCATCCCATGTACTGCGCGAGCTTCACTCACCGCCACAAGCGCGGCACGGATATGCTCCAGAGTGCACCGCCGATCTCAAGCCTGAACCGCTGGCTGAGTTGGCGCCGTGTCTCCTTCGCCAGCAACGGCAGGAGCAGGTGGCTGGTGTCGGCCGTCCATTTGTTTAGCACCGGCAACGCGGCAGCACTGATGTTGCAGCCTTGCAGCCGCATCTGTGGAGGCGCCGGGCTTGGAAAGGGCTCATTTATATAGACGGGTTTCTCTATAGAGTACGCCGATGTACTCGACTAAAAATGAGGTAATGTCTCCAACCTTGGTAAACAGGGGTGTTGTCGCGTTTTCAGTTGAGGTCTGGAGCAGTTTGTGGGGGAGCTCCCACTTTGGAAAATAAATTAGGCCAAATTCGGAACAAACACGTTTGTTGGATATTTTAGGATAGGGTGCATAATTTTCACCGCTCAGCCCCTGCCCAAAATTATTTTGAGAAATTACGCCCCAGTTGGGAACTACGCGGCAAATGCCAAAAGAAGCGTCCCGCGTCCTAAGCGCAATGTAGTGCATGTCAGAAATGCTAAGCACGCATGAGGCTTTTTGACAAATCAACCTGGTGCTGGCAAAAAACTAAGTTGTACAGCACGTACTTGGAAATAACTTAGGTCTACCACACTTTTCACGCATAGCGAAAGCAGTTATTCACTAGAGTACCAGCAGCACTGCCATCTCTTAGCGTTTCCATCTCACGTCAATGTTGCTCTGGTTCCACTCCAGGTCAACGTCAAAAATCTGCAGGTGGTAGCTGCCATCTGTCCTGTTGTCAAATCCAACGCGCGCGTACGCCGGGATGTTTTTTGCGGTCACCCTGAAACCGATACAAGCACATCATAACATCCTTGGGCATATCACACGAAACAGAAGGGTGTTCGCACAAACAGTGTTCGCTGTCTGGCCAGGCTCCGTAATCTGACATTGGAAGTTGCTGACGATCTGAATGATGCGATCAGGCCAATTACGGCGGTGCCGCACGACTCGGCGACATTAAACAAATAATGTCGCATGGTGCTGGGCGACATGACCGTCGGGCACGTTAGAAGAAAAGCCAGTGATGCATACAGATGGTAAGTATTGTCTCGATGTAAGCAAGAAAAGCTTTGAGATCCAAGTTTTTCACAATTGCGACATTGGGGTTCTTATTCTGGCAATGAGCACGACATTCTAAATACGTGCATTTTTACATGTTCTTCATTGCTTCGCATCGCTCACTCATGACCATGAGCACAGCTTGAAGCGTAGTGATTTGTCAACGTAGCCAAGGTTCCTTGATACAGTCCTTTAAGCTGTGCCTCCTGGTATATTGAGGGTCGATGATTGTCAGAATATAAACCCTCATCTCACGACGTAGAGAGTGCAGCTTTGGAGCAACGCAGAGCATTGCTTACAGTTGTAAAACACTGTCCGACCTGCTCATGCGTAAGACAGACCCGTTACACGTAGGAACATTATGTTCTTGATGTCGCGCGCGAATCCGATTTTCGAAGCGGGTAAAATGACAACTTATTGGGTTGTGATAATTCATTGATATCAAGACCGTTATTTCTAACCTGGTTTAAACGCCCGAAACATATTGAGAGAATACGTCATTCATAAGTTGTTCAGTGCATTAGCGAGAAACAATATGCACATAGATAATACAGTAGTATTAGCCTTATTCCTCTGAGAAAAATCAGAAGCATGGAAATAAAGACTGGCTGATATTTCGGCAGCATGGCTTTATCGAAACAATAGCAGAACTCTTTTTCCATTGAAGAAGACTTCTGCTAAGCAGAAGACTTCTAAGATAACAGACAATAGCAGAAAAACTCTCCTGCCATTGTTTCGATGAAGGCATGTTGCCGAAATATCAACCCAACTATATCTCCATTGTCCTGGTTTTTCTCCGAGGAATAAGGTTTATACTATTGTCTTATCTAATACGCCACACAGTTACGTTTGCAATGCCTGATGTGGGCATATTAAACAGCTCTGCACCGCTGCACGTGCAAGCTCTCCATGCATGCATACAAGGTTGACGGATGTAGCGTTGTTGTGATCTCAACGCCGGGTGCGCATTCCGAGTCATAATATAAGAGGGCGGGGGCTTCACGAACCCTGTACCCATTCTGGTGAAAACCAATTCTCCACAAAGTAACCGGATATAGCCCAATTCATTTTGAAGAGCATAATTTTGTTCGCTTGATTTTAATATTTACCCTCTTTAACTGCAACAGACGCCAGAAGACACAGGAATATGCAATTCTGCTCGTATTCTCAAGTTAATAGGATGGAGCAATTGTACCTTAAATGACTGCGTCGAATAAGAAGCCGGTGCTTTTTATTCTGGACTGGTTCAGTGGATGCTTTCTAAGCCGATAGCACTCAAAGCAAACTCAAAGGCTTTGTCAGAACTGATCTGGCTTGTACAGATATTGAGGACTCCGTAGACCTAGATTATAGATCAAACGCGGCCATAAATTTGTGTTGGAAAACCCAGCCCATATTCGTCTGGCACTGTTCAACCTTCGCTCACAATCGAGTTGTGAAAAATAAAATGCTGGCCATACGCGTTGCAAGTCTGAAAAACAAAACCCGACGTCCGTCGTCGCAGTCTCCTCAGGCTGCGCAGCGCCGGTTCGTGTTTAACACTAGGTGGCGGCCAGCGAGCGAACAAAAACAGCAGCATTTCTGAAGGAAATGCTCTTGAACACGTAAGCACATCAACTCAAACGTTTCTAAGGAAGCCCGGGAGCATGCCTCACTTTTGCGATTTTTAGATTTATAGTAGCAACGGATTAGCATGCTTAGTACCACGAGAGGTGCTGGAATCTGGTGGTGGAATTGAACAAGCAAAGTTATAGTCTCTTTGTCCGTGTTGCTGTAGCTGTTCATCTTGTCAGAGGACAACGTAAAACTTATACAGGTAAAACACATTCCTCAGTACAAGCTTTGAGTGCAACGAACTGACTTTGAGAACTTCCTGCAGCACCATTACACGATGACTCTCTCATGATGGGGTTCTCGCGCACCGACCGCTCACCACTCAGTGTTAGTTACAGCGGCCAACTCCGCTCAGTTTGACGGAAACTGCAAACCCGACCGTGACCGACCGCTCACCACTCAGTGTTAGTTACAGCGGCCAACTCCGCTCGGTTTGACAGAAACTGCAACCCCGACCGGGACCGACCGCTCACCACTCAGTGTCAGTTACAGCGGCCAACTCCGCTCGGTTTGACGGAAACTGCAACCCCGACCGTGACCGACTGCTCGCCACTCAGTGTTAGTTACAGCGGCCAACTCCAACCGTGACTGACCGCTCACCACTCAGTGTTAGTTACAGCGGCCAACTCCGCTCGGTTTGACGGAAACTGCAGCCCCGACCGTGACCGACCGCTCACCACTCAGTGTTAGTTACAGCGGCCAACTCCGCTCGGTTTGACGGAAACCGCAACCCTGACCGTCGGTGCTTTTTTGTTCATAAGATAGCAAGCCCGCAGGCCAGAAACTTGTTTATGTACTTTGCTTCATAGGTCGATTTTGAAATACGATGGACGTCGTCAGGAAAGCATGAGTTAGGTATGTTCATTTTTTACTTAATTTCAATCCACCCTATTCAACACTAAGGAAAATCGTTGCCTTTCCTTGGCAAGGAGTCCCATGGTAACACCAGGGGCACATTATCTTTCCCGATCAGGGGCTGGAGTGCCATCCCGTTCTACTGCGGATGCTTGCCGGCTGTCATGCTGGCGACAAGGGGGGCGGGGTTCCCTGTGCGTTCCGGACACCCCTAAAGGGATAATTCATATAAAGGTCACTTCCCTGACTGTCGGTCATTCGGTGTTGGTTGCCTCTGGCCGAAATATATTTATGCATAGCCTCAGGAGGCCCCATATTGGTATGAGAGGCTCTCTGACTGACAGAGGCTCCACCCTTGCCAGTTGGCATGCATCACATATCACGACACGCTGATGATCTTGCTTCACTAAACCGCGCCATAGCCCAAATCAACCAAACGTCGGTTGAGTAAAGTTAAAAAAAAAAATAGTGGACCCCTTTTCTGACACAGCGGACAATCCGTTCTGGTAGACCTCCTCAACAACTTTTCCTTGGGTTGGTTATGTATGATAGAGATATGGGGCCACAACTTTGACTGATCATTAAAGGGAAGCTGAGCATAAGTCATAAAGTTTTAGAGCACCAAAGAGATACAAGGCAGATACAAGCAAAACACACTTCGAGGTAGTGTCGATATGTCGGATAGCATGAATAATAGGCCTGGTCTATAAAAACACAATTATCTGTTTTTCACTAAAATAGAAAAAGTGCCGATTCTGAACAAATAAATTTTCAGCCCCGTACACAACAAACAGCTAAAGCAAGGTCACTTTTGCGCTCTGACTACACTCATAACGACAAGGTGATAAGAAAGCGTTTTCATCGTGAAGGCATTGCTACCCCACCACTCGCATATCATAAAATCCATGTGATGGCCAGAATTTTGCAAAAAAAGACTGGCAAAGACAAAAGTAATATGCATACGAATCAGGTAAGAATGCCGCGATTGCATTATGCATACATTCAATCTGCAAATGGTGGTGTAGACAGCGGTGTTGTAAATTGGCAGCAGATATATTAAGCTATTAAATAAATATTGCAGCAAATGATTATCAAATACTAGTACCACAAAATGAGAGCAACATTGCTTCATCCAAGCACAAATAATTTCCCATTCAATCACAACTGCATTCACACCATATATGGGACAGATTGGCTACATCTTAACACATTGCGAGGCACCTGCGTGGGTTAGTGAGGACGGTGAAAAGGCCTAGAACGTACAGTCTCAATATCCGTCCCTGCATGCGTGTAGCGCGAATAACCATGCGGTGCAATGACCTGCGTGAGAGACGCCCGCCCGGTGCCGAAGTCCACGGTTCGAACCGAAACAAACACAGCGAGCGAGCCGCGCGTCCTCACAGGACCAGCGGGCTGGCCTCAGACCGGCTCGCAGCTGTCAGCACGTGGCATGTAACCCTTGCGGCTGTCATCAATGGAGTGCCACTGTACTACTGCACTTTACAGGTGCTAGTCGTCACGCCTGAATGTTTTCCGAAGACGAGCACGTGGCATGCTCCCACGAGGGATGTCTGTTCAGGCACACACATCAAATATAATATGGAGGTGGCGCGCATCACGTCGATGTCATAAATCGCGAGCCAAAAGGAGTAGCTGTCTCTCAGAAAAAGAAGCGTTTGCGGCGTTGAACGCACGTTGAATTAATAGAGCTCTTGCGAAATCGCGCAAAGGATAGCGATGCTGGGAGGGTAACCTCACCAATGTTGATCCCGATTGCACACCGTGATAACATTGCAGAAACGTCTTCTTGATCTTGGCTTCTTCGTGAGGAAATGTACGCTTTGAACTCTTAGCAATGTCATTTTACATCGCCCATATCCAGAGAACATTCGTTCCAGCCTGGAGTTGTTCGGTGGTGGGCAAAGCTGGAAGGCAATTGGCCCTTTTGGTGTTTTCTGCTGGGATTCGAGGCCCTCATCGCATCATGAGCGGCATTTGGCTGTCTTCAGTACAACTGTGCACACACTGACAGGAAGATCCCGGGTAGTATATCGACCTGCTTTTAATATTCTATCGAAGTTTGTGGATACACTATTAAAGTTCGAGCAAATACAAATAAATGGAAAGCTGTCATAATATCAAAGATAATCCAATCCAAGGACGTATCGTAGGTCACCGGGGTATCTTTTCGCAACAGGGCCCACTCACCGTCCTCAGAGGGAATCTTCGCGGGATTATTGGCATATTTGCTGTCTGAGTCCGTCGACGCATCGGACCACAAAGATCGCCAAAGAGCCCGAATTTTCTTGGCGTCGTGCGCTTGTTATGGGGAATCTGTTACAAGCTCGTTTTGGGTTCCGGATTTCCGCCAAGGCAAGAGGCCGTGCCACTCAGGCAGCTTCCTGGCGAAAAGGGGCTTGTTACTATTCCCTGACCCAATGATGTCTTGACCAGATCAATACATGTATACACAACAGGACACAAACCACAGCAAGGACTTCACAGATACCGAAGCCAGCTCCAGGAACACCCCCGTGGCGACCGACTTGATGGTATCCAGATCTCGGGGCACACACCCACGTAAGCCACGCTGACCAAGCCAAGGTGAGTTCAGTGGGCCGCTGCGCCCCGTGTAGTGAGATCACGCCGAAAGCGGTTCCCATGCTCGTCCATGTCAGTACACGGGAAATGTCCGCTGCAAGCGTCAGCGCTCGACTCCCGTGTCGTAGCGACGCCTGGAGCCCGGCTCTCAGGGGGTGTTTGGGCCCCACACCTGGTGACGCCGGCGGCTGCTGCTCCGCTGCGCCGGCGCCGACCGCACCAGCCACGATGGGATGCAGTTCCACCGGCGCCGGACGCACCAGCCACGATGGGATGCAGTTCCGCCGGCGCCGACCGCACCAGCCACTCCACCGGCGCGGGACGCACCAGCCACGATGGGATGCAGCTCCTCCGGCGCCGGCCGCACCAGTCACGATGGAATGCAGTTCCACCGGCGCCGGCCACACCAGCCACGATAGCTGTAGTTTCGCCGTCACCGGCCGCACCGAGACGCCAGATTTAGGCTCTTCGGCGCCAGACTGCAGTGCCACCCCACGCGGGTCAGCAAGCAACTGCGCAGCTTCAGCGATATTTTAGCCGTGCTATGACGTTCGACCGTCTCGAATCCCCTGACGTTTTCATGACTCATTAATTGGGCCGTCTTGATCATTCCGAGCCGGCTTAGAGACGCTATCCGGTAAAGACCTGGACTCAAAACCTTAGCGTCTACACTAAACACCAACGCGCAACACATATCATGGCTCTGCCGTAGAGTTACGTCGCCTAAAGTCTACGCGACCGATGATCCAAGCACGTCAACGCTGTCTGATGGTCCCGAGGGCCTCCACCAGCTGCCCACCCAACCAAGCAGGTCCGCCGCGGACAGCACGGAGACGCCGAGCAGCATGCTGATGTAGCCACCCATCTCGCTGACCAGGCTGACCGGCGGGTAAGAGCGACGCTCCGTGGCCACCTCCTCCGGAATTTGAGCCATCCTCACGCGGATTACCGAGTAACGCTTGCCACTGAAAGTAGACGGAGCCCTGACCTTGACGTCCGTTGTGTAGCGCTGTTGCCGGCAAGCTGGCAGACAGTGGCATGCGTTCAAGCGGCTGGCAAAGTCCACTCGCCTGGAACGGAGACTGGGAGGGCACTCGATCAGACCGGGAAAGTCCTCCAGCATCTCTGGGTTCGAGCAGTTGAGCGCGCTGGCTCGCAGTGTATGGTAGCAGCGGAGCACACACATCTCGTAGTGATACCCAGACGCCGAGCTACAAGCGGCACGGCGCAGGCTCTCCCTGTCACGAACAAGTGACGAAACGAACACATCTGCCTTGCTTAAACCTCGCAGCTTGACATGCTGGTCCGGGTCGACCGCCTTGATGCCCATGTTGGTGGTGAGCGGCCGTCGCCGGGGGTGGACGAACACCTTGTGGTCCCACAGTACCGAGGCGTTGACTCTGGCCAGCATTTTTATTTTCAGCTCTGGTATTTTCGGTCCTCTCATGTCAACCAGCTGACCCCAGGTGACGTTTGGCGTGAAGGTGTGGCACAGTTTGGGCTCGTCTGACGCCCAGGAGCGCCAGGACCCCGACGCGACGGCAGCGTACCCTCCAGGGAAGGGAATGTTGGCCCGCGTGCGGCAGCCCGGGATGCAGACGGACAGCTGGGTTCCAAGGGGCATACTGGCCCGCCATATTTTCTCAGCCAGCGAAACGTTCTTCAGTCGGCAAATCTCCTCCGAGCTGAGTTCGTATGGGTAGACGCAGATGGTCATACTAGGCACGGTGACATGGAGTCGGGGCGTGAAGGAGAGCGTCATGGCGACGGGCTCGCTGAGGTACAGCTGCAGCAGCTGCACGCAATAGTATCCGGCCAGTACGGCACAGCCGAGTCCCAGCAGGCAGCGGGACGCGCGCCGCCGGGGTCCGGGGCCAGCACGGTGGACGGGACATGGCGACCAGAGGAGCACTGACACCACCCGAGCGCGGATCGACTGACAGAGTCCGGGTGGCGAGGTAGCGCGTCTGGAATGTCTTCCCAGGCCGACCGTCAACTGCGGTGTGATGTCACACCACTGGCGATCCATGAGGGACACACTGGCAATGTCTTCTGAGCGCGTGCATGTCGCCAACTTCTTTGTGAGATCAACAAACTGCACAAAGGAGTTGGAGCTTGGGAAAACTTGTCCATCCCGTCGTCACGCTCGAGGCGTTGTTGATTAGGGGACATTGACCAGGATGCGGCTGATTAACTGTTTCCTAGTATTTTGAACCAGTTGTTCCGCGAGTCACGCAAGGTGACAAATTATGTCAGCAAAACTTTGGACAGCTATTAACGACATGCACATGATGAAAGGAGAAATTCGACATACGCGATACAAACAAGTTGTCATGGACATATTTCAACATGACAAGCGTATGCGTCTGAAACTAGCGGCGGGTGCAGAAAGGTATTTACGCTTGTTCCGCCACCGTCGGAAAACCAGCGAGCGACACCTTACTGACGCAGCGAGCTTCGGCTGATGTCCGGGTGCGGCCTCCGTACGGTCGGGTCGGCACGATCAGCCCAGTCGAGGGACGGCTGTCGTACGGTCGGGTCGGCCCGATCAGCCCAGTCGAGGGACGGCTGTCGTACGGTCGGGTCGGCTCGATCAGCCCAGCGGAAGGGTAGGATCATTCGCTATCAGGATTGGCGGATGACAGTGCATGCTTAATCCTACCAGGTGTCCCATAAAAATGACCCAACGTTTTAAATAGATCGTTTTTGCATTCAGCGAAAACTTCGGAAGAGTTTAAATCTAGACCCACGCATATTTCAGGTTTTCACGGGCATCGGTGTGACAGGTCGTTTTTGGCGGTCGATTTATGAAATGCCTGCGACGCTGTCTTTTGAAAACAATACGTGCACATCGCAACCTAAGGACAACCAACAAACAGCGAGGCATCAATGAATTCTGGGCTACTTGTTATCTCCAGATATTATCAATGGTTTCCGGAAGGCGGTAACACCATCTTACACCATGAAAGAACAGTTTGCTGTTGACAACGCACTTCTCAGAGGAGGTGGTTTCTCTTTCTTTCATGAAATTTTCGGTGGCCGCCGTATTCTCGAACCTGAGTCTACTCAATCTCTATATGTGATAACATTTAAGCGACGTATCAGTCTGCAAGCCCCCAGAAAATTAAATTAACCAATGATGTTATCAACAACTTACGCAGAATCGCTCCGTAAATTCATGTGCGCGTCCAAGGTAAATTAAATTACGTGAAAAGTATGGTGCGCATGTGCGTAATCGGATGCAATTCAACTGACGAGGTCAGCTGGCTCACCTGACGAGACCGCAGCCGTCCAGCGGGAACAAGCGGCCGACAAGGCCGGCCAGGCAGACGCTGCCAGTCAGCCGGATGGCCGGCATGTTAAGTGCCAGCCGAATCTGCTGCGTCACTGGGTCCACCTCCACCGAGTCGATGACGAAGGTCGAGAGGCCGGTAAGCTTGGTTTCAGATATATTGGCCTGGAGGCTGCGGGAAAGACGGTTGGGGACAGAAATGGCTATGATGTAACCACACGAGCTGTGATGAGGTCGATCAGTTTGTAACTAGGCTCTTTCTGCATACGCAATGTGTTTCGTTTATTTGTACTAGTGGCCAAGACCAATATTACCTATCCGTAGAACTTTGTTCTGCTCTGATTCATTTAGTTGTGACTGTTTAGCCACTTGTTTCACATCTTCTGAAGTTTCGGCCATTTGCGTGAATCTTCAAAGTAGGCTTGAGTGTGGTATGCATCTTTTCCGTTTTCTTTTCGCTCGTCGTCAAAATGGCATGTGACATTGCCCCATTCCAAGGCCAGACACTTGTTCCCCGGCGACGCGCTATGAATATTGCCGACTAAGTAACCGAAACCAGTCAATGCCACCCACTGAGAAACCATGCATTTAACTTAACGAAGTCAAGCATGCGGTACCCTTAAAAGTTATAAGAGCCTTCGAGTAGATATCTTAAAATGAAATGGGCATTTCAAAAGCGATTTCGGACCACTTGTCGGCATTCCTGCCCGACATCATCATATGCAGGATGTTAAAGTCTAACATTGTCGGGCCCGGTCCGCCCTCCGAGAAGTCTACAGAGTAATATCCCCACCCACCAATCGCAAGTGGAGACCTGGCATAACGGCACAGAGCAGCGAACTATCGTGTTATGAGGTGGACTCACCTCCTCCTAAACCATGGACCAGCTCTGCGTTCCTGTATGAGCTTGTCGGCTCACCTGACATCGGGCGTAGACAGCGTCAGCGGCACGGCCCCGACGCGCAGCGGGTCCAGTACAGGGATCGCCAGCTGGACGGATCCTCGGGCCATGACGACTCTGAACAGCTCCGCGCATGCGCGGACCAGGTCACGCACGTCTGAGCCGCCAGCGGCTGGGGCATGTATGCAAGCAAATGCGTGGCGCATGAGAACTTGAATGTGATGGTGGAGTCTCGAACATCAAATTCCTCTGTTGCATACGTCGAGCACATCACAGTTCAATACTGAAAGCATTTAGGCTTAGTGCATTTCTATTGACTTCGAATAGAAGTTGTGCACCCGAGGCATTGGCTGCTACCAAATCGAATGTGTTGTTTCTCCCAGTGCCTCATTTAACACGTTTGTTTAAGCTGCATCTGCGCTCATTCTTCAGCACAATTTGTCTCGTTGGTGGCGTACGTTGTACTATGCATGAATAAAAAATCTAATCCGCGCTCTCGATTTCAAGCGCGTTTGAGCTTTAGCGTTTTTTTTTTCCATTTCGGCACAATAATATTTGTTCGGCCTGTACACAATGTCTGTACAGATGTTACGGCACGACTATGCAAATCCGTGTCAGCAAAATTGTAGAGATTTGTGCTACAATTTACGAATACGACATACTGAATACGACAGGTGACCCCAGGAGCGAAAGCGCTTTTTAACGCCGCTCATCAATTGAAGCGACAGGATATGCCGCCTGATTGCATTCAAAACGAAATTTCATTCGTGTCATATCCAGCCCATTGACATACGACTCAATGTTTCAGCGACATTATTGATGAGTTCGTTCGTGATTACTTAGAACATATTCCGATGTAGGGACATTCCGTAATTCAACTGGATCCACGAACCGATACAGTACGAGTGCAAGCTGTACTCCTCAAACACAGGGAGCTGCGTTTATTAGCCGCCCTCGCTCATAAATGCGGTGCCTATGGCGTCTTTGTAATCCCGAAGCATTGACACATGCTTGGCGCAATAGGAGTTACATACAACCCGCATAACTTTGTATAAATATACTGCGCTTATTCTTTAAAAAACTGACTGTCAGCGTCGATGGCATGTTTGAACAATCCACTCGTTGCCTGGCCCATCAAAACTGACATCAGTCAAGGGCCAACCCCTGCTGCCAGGCTGGCATCTGTCACGGGACAAACTTCTGCTGCCAAGCTGGCATCTGGCACGGGACAAACTCCTGCTGCCAAGCTGGCATCTGGCACGGGACAAACTTCTGCTGCCAAGCTGGCATCTGGCACAGGGCAAACTCCTGCTGCCAAGCTGGCATCTGCTACGGGACAAACTCCTGCTGCCAAGCTGGCATCTGCTACGGGACAAACTCCTGCAGCCAAGATGGCATCTGTCACGGGATAAACTTCTGCTGCCAAGCTGACATCTGTCACGGGACAAACTCCTGCTGCCAAGCTGACATCTGGCACGGGACAAACTCCTGCTGCCAAGCTGGCATCTGCTACGGGACAAAGTTCTGCTGCCAAGCTGACATCTGTCATGTAGTAGGCTCCCGCTGGCGAAACTGGTCTCGAGCTAGAAAGCTCTCCTTTAATACCGGCCCTTGTCCTGGAGTCTGCAGCGAGGTCGGGAAAGTCACCGTCGCTACAACCTTGCGTCACAATGTACAATACTCAGCGATGTGCTCAGTTTCCGCCGCTCCCAGGATTGGTTTAACCCTCTTCCATTGGTAGCCTCCTCCATTAACTCTTCTCCTCCATTGGTAAAACCCTCCTCCATGGCGCTGCTAACGCAGCAATATACGCTGTCTGTTGCCATCCATAATGCCTCTATGTCTCTATCGTCATCCACGATGTATGTACTGCCTCTATCGCCATCCGCATTGTCTCTATGCCTCCATCAACGTCCACAATGGCATGCCACGCCAACCAGCGGCATTCAAGATGTTCGTCAACGAGGTCTCTTTCCCTTGCCCACCTACCCAGCTTGCTTGGTGACGGCTTCCTTGCATTCATTAAGCGAACAATCCACTCGTGCGTACGCAAAGAGTACGAGCCGGCCACCGTGGTTTTGCTGTCGGGCCTGCATGTCGGGCCTGCATGAAGTAAGGTGCAAGTTTTTATCACTCGCTGATGTGCCTGGTCTGGTAAAGTGTCTCGCTGATGTGCCTGATCTGGTAAGTGTCTCGCTTATGTCCCTGTCAGGTAAAGTGTCTCGCTGATGTCACTGATCTGGTAAAGTGTCTCGCTGATGTCACTGATCTGGTGACGTGCCTCGATATATGTCCCTGGTGAAGTCTCTCGCTGTATGTCCCCTGGTGAGGTGTCTCGCTGTACGTCCCGATCTGGCGACGCAGCCTGCAAAATGTATCTGTCGTGAAACAGTTGACTGACTCACCGTGTGCCCCCGACGAGGGTAAAGTGCCACGCTGTGTGCCCCAATAGCGCGTTTATTTCATGCTGCCGAAGTGATCCGGCCAGGATCCTCTCTGACACCGAAGGGAGCTAACAGCCAGTACATGCTCTCGAGCTGCCGCTGTGATAGACTGAGTATCTTTGGCCTGCTGGGTGTGTTGTGCTCGGGTCAGTTGTGAGTCATCTGCGGGTCAGCTGTGCGAGGCAAATGATCAGGCTCCTCCCCTCGCCCAGTTCAATGACTAGGTGCCAGTTTTCGGCGAAAGTGGAGCGATGCGTGCACTGCCGAACCACAGACCACGGTCTGTTGCACCGGCGGGCGCAGGACAACTATCATTATTTTTCTGCATGTCCAAAGCGGCTTCAGGAAAATACCACTCCCAGTGTGGATAGGAAAGTTGCACTCATTAAATCGATTGCCAAGCTTTTCGGTGCAGCGTGCTAAATCTACTCAACCGCCGGGATGACCCTGTGCCGATAGGCAAAGCTTGCACGATGTTTGCGTCGCCTTGGCCCAGATTCCATTGATGTGGGGGGGGGGGGGGGGGAGGAAGCTTTGCATTCGTCACCCTGCCCCACTCCGCAATAACATAGCATCGCCGTGAAAACTGGAGGAACAACTGGCGAAGGTCCTGGTCTCAGTCCAATTCAGCAGACAACTGCATATCGTGATATTTTTGGATAGCATGCGCCCTGTCCTGGTCAGATGAACTACTGAGGCGCCATCACACAGCCATGTGTGTAGCACTACCGCCAGCCTTTCTTGGTGATCAGCTTGAAATAGCGCGTGCCTACGTCTATGGGTGTAATAACTCAGGTGTACCACGTTATGCCTGTTGGATTTAGAACAGGATTGGTCATCAGAATTCCACGCTGTAGGTACGCATGACGCAGTCAGCACTAACCTTCGGCTGCGGGATGTGCTGCCACAAAGGCCACACAAAACACCAGGCTCAGTCGCAGCCAAACGCACATCTGAAACGTGCTCGGGACATCAGGGCAGGACAGAGCAGTCAATAAAACCGCGTCCTGCTTAACAGAACAGGAGTGTACTGCCCGTCAATTACGTCCGCGCGTGTAGACGAGGACTACGGCGTCATGACGCAAGCTAATACGATATGTACAAACGCATACGCGGCAAGCCATTTAATCGAATGCATTTCTATGAATTCCCGGAAAACATCGTCATAGTCGTTGTCAAGAGCTTTCAACCATAGATCAGCGATGTTAAAACGGACACTAGTTAACCATAGTCGTTGGCAACAGTGGCAGCCATAATTGTTGCCCTGAATTCTTAGCCAAAGATCAGCAATGTTAGCACGGACACTAGTTTTCTCAATTCATATCAGGCGCTTAATGATCAACCCCGCGCCAAACAAGACTGACCTTGGGAGTCCTGCACACGCTGCGAACCTGCACGCTCTATACATTCGCTGAGCGGCGACAGTCCTTTTCAGGAGGCCCTGGGAACCGTCTGCTGGAGTTCGGACTGTCTGCCGTTCCTGATATGACTGTGTTGATAGCATTAGGAGCTGCGACGCTCGGTCACATCTGTGGCAGTTCGGAGTAACATGCCGAACGTCTGTTGTCGGGTATGAAGTGAAAGATTGTTGCGTTGCGATCTCTGTATTGCACTAGGAGCTGCGACGCTCGGTCACATCTGTGGCAGCTCGGAATAACATGGCGAACATCTGTTGTCGGGTATGAAGTGAAAGATTGCTGTGTTGCGATCTCTGTATTGACTGTACATCATCTTAACTAGCTAAATTATAGTGTTATTGCATTGATGGCTGTCAGACAAATTGCACAGTTTTAAAAAGCACAAGACAACGCTCACAACAACATCTGCGTACAGAAATGACGATTAGATATCCTGACCTGCAACGATAATACAAGGCTCAGCGCACCGCCCATGTACGAAAGGTATTTTTAGCCGTAAAGGTAAAGAACATCAAACACCACTATTTCGACAAACGCCTGGCACATTTCTAGGCTTGCGAGCTATCCAGTAGGCCCACAGTTCAAGCATCGCACATGCCCTGCACGCATCAGCACGGTAACGTTTGCCGCTCCGTCACCAGTCCGCTACACCCAGCGCACGTCATCAGCGAACGACCCTCCGCTGGCACCCCCACGAATGTTACCACGTGCGAACTCGTCAATTGGCTCAGCATCTTGGCGGGTAACAGGTCAGCACGAATGGAGCTAACCCAAGTAACGCCGATTACAACAGCTTGGTGGGATGGGAAATGGCCGCCCACATTTATTACACATGACAACAAAAGCAGTTAGTTCCCCAAATCCTGCGATGTATTTTACATTCATTTACTATTCATTGAATACGCTACAACTGACAAGAGAGGTGGCAAGGTATGCATACACCCTGCTGTTTACAAAATATCGTCAGCGAGTGCGCATTTAAATATATGAAAAATCATCACACCTTCACTTAAACTTATCACCGCGCATAACCAAATCCATGTACATTTTGACATCATCGTGAACACCTACGAATTACCGACATTTAGAACACCGCTCGACACTTCCAGAAGGGAGCCAATCCCATCATGGGCGTTCAGAGGGCAACTGAGATTGACACAGAAGGCGGCAGACGTCCATCACTTACGGACAGACGACCTCAGAGAAGATGATCGTGCTGCATACACGACTCATCACCCGAAGCCCCCAGCGGCAGCGCCCGCACGCCACGTCACCAACTGCACTCACCCAGCGGCAGCGCCCGCACGCCACGTCACCAACTGCACTCACCCAGCGGCAGCGCCCGCACGCCACGTCACCAACTGCGGTCACCCAGCGGCAGCGCCCGCACGCCACGTCAACTGCCCACCCAGCGGCAGCGCCCGCACCGCCAGTCACCAAACTGCGTCACCCAGCGGGCAGCCGAAACCGCACGCCACGTCACCAACTGCGGTCACCCAGCGGCAGCAACCGCACGCCACGTCACCAACTGCGGTCACCCAGCGGCAGCGCCCGCACGCCACGTCACCAACTGCAGTCACCCAGCGGCAGCAACCGCACGCACGTCACAACTGCAGTCACCAGCGGCAGCAACGCCGCACGCACGCCACTCACCAAACCCACCGCGGCCCAGCGCAGCGCCACGCCACGTCAGCCACGCCAACGCGCCCGCAGCGCGTCACGGCACACCCAACTGCGGTCACCAGGCAGCGCCCGCACGCCACGTCACCAACTGCAATCCGCATGTCCTGGCACCATGTGTGGCCGCCATGTGTGAGATGGTGTCAAATGTGGTCACATGGCTGCCATGGCTTCACGGACATCCCATAAGATGTGGGGATGAAGCTAGATACGTTAGCGCTATGCTCATAAGAGGGTACAAATTACTGGACAGGGTCTTAATATCAACGGCGGCTTCCTCAGTGGACACACCGGTGCTTCTTCGGTCTTTATTATGGTTGCATGGAAACTTTGATTAATTTTGTGTATCATTATTCTCATTATAATGCTGACGACAAAGGTCCTTCACTTCTCAGAAATATGGATATCTCACTGATATGACTTCATCAGGATGCCGTGGCGGCAGATAAGGACCAGCTCGATCAGGGGCGTATGCAGGACGTTGCAATGGCTGGGGGCGAGGAGAAACAGCTCCCAATTTTTCACTGAAAAAACAATTTATATGGTTTTCAACATTTTAAGGTGTCTGTTCTTGTCCAAGTGTATGCTATTAACGCAAGTGAAATACTTTAAGGGGAGGAGAGCGCGTGCCAACAATGCTCGTCCACCGTTGACTATACCCCTGATTTTGATGTCAGGTACACTTACCGCTTCCTATGTGTCACCCCAAAAAAAGTAACTTTCCTATTCGGATGAGAAATAATGCCGGAGAAATAGTCCTTCACACTGCATAAAACGAAAGATCAAATATCGATACTGTATGTTATATCTGTGCGGTTGAGATGGAAAGGTCGTCGTATCGTTCCTGCTGTTATAGGGGCTGAGGGTTTCACCTATATCACCGCCACAAGCCTACACAGATGTGGTATGTCATGTCAATCAGCCAAGAGGCACGTGATTGTTCTTCGAAATGTTTGCCGTGACGCCAGGTTACACATATCGTCAACCTGAAATTATAAGTGGTCACGTGAACGACACGGCTACTGCCATCCACCAACGAAATCATGTCGTGAACTATTCGTGGACACGCTTGTAAAGGTGACCAGCATTAAAGTATTCAAAAGCTTGATCATGCACTGAAGGCATAGTATTCAGAAAGACCACCCAAGATAAAGTAAGCTGCCGAAGGTATTCCCATACGGCTCACACGACTCGACATATGACCTATGTATGACGTCACTCGATACATCCCGGGAGCTGCCGCCATACGGGCACGCCCATCGGCCATGTATGACGTCACTCGACACACCCGGGGAGCTGCCGCTACACAGACACGCCCATCGACCATGTATGACGTCAAATGCGAAAGTTCGCCGCTCGACGCACGGCTGTGACGGCCGGTTTGCCGACACCCCGTGACGTCACACGCCCCTCCACCGGAGTCTGCTCGATGCGCCGCCGGCACCTCCTGGCCGACAGCGGTCATACCGTGTCCCGCTTGTATTTGTAGGCGCGCTTCCAGATCTCGCAGAGGCAGACCGTGCTGTGGAAGCGGTAGAAGATGGCCAGCGGCATGGACACGTGGCTGATGATGGTCCACGCCCAGAAGCCGAAGAAGTGCAGTTGGTTGGGGTGCGCGTCCGAGCGGGACGTCTCGAAGGTGGTGATGCTCCACATGGCCAGGTTGCAGATGAGCAGGAAGGTGACCACCTCCCGGCCCGGCTTGTCTCGCAGCTGGCGACATAACGAAACGTATCAGATCGATTGGGGGCAACTTGAATGTATTACAAAAACGTCATCTATTCGTGCACGTTGCGCGGATATATTGACTGCATTCGTGCCTTTCTGGAATCATGTTTTAAGCAGTGGGTAGTTGGTGACAAACAGACGAAACGCTGTCGCATTCCGGCGCGTGCCAGCATTTACACACCGCATTTACACCCTGTAGCGGGCAAATAACTACTGACTGTAAAGAAGCAAGAGCACGGATGACGTTCGTTTCTGCAACTGATGTATCCCATGCCATCCTCCCTTCCGGATAGCAAAACAGATTGATCAGACACGCGAACACAGCAAAACAGCTGTATCACGTCGGTGGCAGCGGTTCAACCCACACTCGGGGCAAAACAAGGCCGTCGGTTATAAAGTCAAGCCGTACGACCCGCGGCGCTTATGTGTGTCGATAGGTTTGAAGATATTGTGATATGATGCAAGCCAAGACGGAATAACTAAAGACGGCTAGTGACCCGGCCAGGACGAGCGGAGGCGCCACAAGATCGACGAGTTCACAGCTCTTGGCGATGAGCTCGCTCCCGGGCTTCAGGCAATCTTTTATTATGCCGCAGATGTGTGCAATGCTGGACACCGCACACTGCAAGCCGGTTCTTTTTCACGATTATCTTCCTTCCACACCGAGCGTCACGTTCAATATGGTGAGTTCCTGCATCGCACAGTCCGCGGATAATAGTCTGGTAGCTGTAACGGTAAATATATCACGATCTACTCGGATGTCAAAAACCGAGATTATTTAACAAACCTACGACGGTGATTGGGGAGATACGATATCACTTAGATCTGCGAACGAACTGCGAATGGCCGTATTGGACAACAGCGGAGGGACGAAAGCACGTGCCGCAGCGTGTGAAGGTCATAAGGTCAAGGCCAATGACTGGCAACTGTACGCACCTGATTGGTCCTGTAGGCTTGGCGGCACGAGGCGTCCAGAATGAACATTGTCTGCAGCGTTACCTGAGGCATGAAACAAGCGGGCTTAAAATCATACCCACCGCAGGAAACTACAACCGAGCGCCATAATCCCACAACTCAGTGCACAACTCAGTGCGAGCCCACCTTCTCTGGAAAGCAGACGGTACGTTTACCAACCCACAGTGCACGGCCCTATGGCATCCTTAGCCCACAAGGATGCGACACAGTATCGACCGCATGGCTCTTGAGAAGGTAGCGTATGGATCGTAAAGAACATAGCACTTCATAATATTGCATGGGATTTTAGACTGTCGGGTGCAGCAGCAGCCAAGTCATATTAAAACGCCATCCAAAACATTCAGTTCGATTGTTACACAGCGGCAACATTGTAAAGCTAACATAACGCGCTCTTTTGATTGACCAAGAAAAATTGGGACTAGATGCATTTTGGGAAGTGTTAAAATTCACTGCTTGACAACGAGCCTCGAAGGAAATGCAACACCTTCAGGTGTGCGCTGCAGGAGCTGTCACCTTTGATGGTAAGTAGGTATAGGGCGGAATATTGTCATACTTTCATAGAGTGTGGACATGGGAACCGTCACTAAGTTACGCAACGCATTTTGGATCGTTTCCACCCACTGGTTACCCACTGGTTACGCTGGGGTAAGCCGCCTGTCGCTCTCTACCCCTGATTGCGTTGTGTTAAACGTTACGTCCCAAAATTATATAGTCCGTTTGACCCATAACTGAGCTAGAGGTGCGAAACAAAAGCGTGCGTGCTGTTTGCCATGAAATGAAGCTAACGGTAGTCCGACATTAAGGCTTACATCCGGCGTAACGCTACGCTGTGCAGTTGCGCTTGTTGAGTTTGCAGGTCCTCCTCCTGCCTCCTTGTTGAGCTTTGGCTACGCTCTATCGACCTAACCCCCTTCCCCCTCTTCATGCGAAAGGCAATATATGGACAGCCCTATATGCACGCGAAGGTCGCTAAACTAGACATCACATATCAGAATGGGACATACCAATAAACACTGACAACTTTGAGTTCAAATAACGTATCCAAGCATTCTGAAATAGACCTGGGCGGAGCACTAAGAGGCAAATCGTGATTAACCGTACATCAATATTACAATGCTGCTCTTCTGATAATTCGATGTTAAAATGGTTACTTTTTTTGAAAACGACGCATGGTTAGCAAATCTTGGTTGATACGTGTCCATTTCTCTGCTGTTCCCAACTCTGAATATCGCCGTTGCGGTTTACCATACTGGAGCCCATGTTTCTCCAGTGCCCACCTGCACGATGGCCATGACGCTGGTCCCCAGGGAGTAGAGGTCGTTGGAGAAATGGGAGCCGATGATATCGAAGGAGGCGTACAGATAGACGCCTGTCTGCGCCACCACCAGCAGGATGTTATCCAGCTCTATGCTGCTCTCCGAGCGGTATCTGGACAGTTGAGGCGGACCAAATGAAGCAATACGACTGGGGCGCATTGCAAGCAGAAATAATACAGATCATCACTTTGTTCGTGCTGAGCAGAGTAAATCAAACTACAGAATCGTTCTATTTGCCTTTATTTATATGCATTGATATGCATATGTATTTATATGCGCATTTGTATGCATATGATCGGAAAGACAAACTATTGTGGCAAAGATGTAGTTTGGAAAAGATAAGCTAGTGTCTACAATCACACTAAATCAACAGCAACTTACCAAAGCGGAAGTGAAGGGATCAACAACACTGTAGCATTCCATGATGCTGGTTGCGAGTTTCGTTTATGTCACGTAATAATAGAATTCCCATTACCATTGCGCGTCAATATTTCACCCAAACACATTATCCAGCCCCAGAGCCAAGCACAGTATTTAACACACATAATAGTTCCGGCGACAAAAAAGATAGGACGCTGCGCCACTTTCTCGACAGCTGGAAATATCACCTAGAGTGGCTCAAGGCTGTCCAGAATTCAATTACGACCTATTAGATTTAGTGCGCGATTACTATCGAGAAACCTTCTAAACCCATTCGGTTAACAATAGAAAACATCGCGACCGAGGGCACGGAAAGAATAATGGCGTCATTCCGCTCATGATTCCCATCTTTGACCAAAGAATATATGCATATGGCGGAAGCATTCCGATCATGAACTTGATTGTGCGTTTTCCCGCAGTGTCTCGCAGACAATGGGCCAGCACTTTATCATTTTATCTGGATGAGGATTAGGAAGAAAGCTGGCCCAGTTGGTGTTCACAGGACAGGGAATCGGTCTAAGCGCAGCCACCCATTCCCCCAACGAGTCTGAGCCACCTGAGTCGGTCTCTTCCCCCTGAATCTGAGTCACCTAGTTCGATCTAAGTATTAATTAACTGTTACCACCTGGTCTAATCTGAGTCTGCGCCACGTCCTCCCCCTTTCACTGCTGGATCTCAGCCACCTGCTCACACGGGAGTCACCTCTCCTGATCCCACCTGAGACGCTGGATCTGCATCATGCCGATGATGATGGCCACGACGGTGACGCAGTATAGCACCAGCTCCGTCATGCTCGCGCTCAGGATGGCAACATCACGCGTGCCGCTCTTGTTGATCAGCACGAAGAACAGGATGAGCGAGATGATGGAGGCCACCAGCACCAGTATGCCTAGGAACAGGCCCTTGGAGGCCCTGTCGGCGACCATGTCACTCCGTCAGAGTCCGCAACACCCATCAGCACACTGAGCGACCGCAGCGTCTTACAGCGCCGAGCCGCCACCTGACTTTTGTCGCGGAGAAGTTGTAGCTAAAGGCTCCGGCGCAACTCACCGAGTGGGTCTCGAAAAGACCAATCATTGCATATTTTCATTCCACCAGAAATGAATTATTCGACACCTCATGTGGCCGTTATACCAGGTAAGACGTCACGCCACTAACTAGTGCCTTGTGCCAAACTACATCTCGCTGGGCCCGGTTGAAATTTACCTTCACCGCAAAAGGAGGTAGTTAAACATTAGAGCAAACCATGTGGATCCGAAAGGTATTAAATCTATACGATGTTACGCTGGTTCATACCATAAATAACATGTCACGCGGCTGCTTCTGTGGACGATGGCAACTGATTGCGCACCATTGGCGCAGCACCAGGCATCGCGTCTAACAGCGGATCACGTCACCAGCTGCACCAAGACCCACCTAGCGCAGTCGACAGAGTACTGGTGCTTCTTGTTCTTCTCGCTGCCTGCGGTGTAGCCCACGTCGCGGATCACATACACCGTGTTGAGCTTGTTGAGGTTCTTCCACATGACGTACAGGGTGGCGGCGCAGATGAGCGAGTACTCGATGGTGCAGGGGAAGAGGAAGGGTGAAGCTGAGTCCACCAGCTGGCCCATGATGTCGGAGCGGGCGCACTGAGTAAGCACGCCGGACTCCTCCTGCTGCGCATGGAACTCCTGCAGGTCAGTGGCGAACTCCTCCGAGAAGCCGTCCAGAGGGTCCACCGCCGCCACCTCTGCTGGGGGCAGGGTTGGACCGTCAAGACGATCGCGTTGGCCAAGGTACGCCGCTGGTGATGGGGCATTCGGGGAATATAACTGTAGACCGAGTAGCCATTGGGCACTCACACTTATGAAGCCATCATTACGTTTATGGTGATGCTTCTTAAGAACTCATCTAATACAGAATGTGACTCGTCATTTTTAGTGTTGCTGATCATGCCACATTGATGCATAGGAAGAGGCTAATCTCCTCTCATCCAGCCGTTTCAATATATATATATATATATATATATATATATATATATATATATATATATATATATATATAAAGATATACATGCACCTGAGCCCCCCAGATTAGATGCTTTCATGGGTACAGTTTCTCGTGGCCAATCCATCCATTCGCTATCCAATCCATTCCGCTACCCATTCCTAATAAGCTGCACCAGACGTGTTAATTCTTAATCATGAAGGGGCTTAGGGAATGTTTGCACTCTCTTTGCGTTCATAGTTGCAGAAGCAGAGTGAAAGAAACCCATTATAAACAAAAAACAACAACAAACAAACAAACAAACAAAAACACAAGCCATGACGTTGTGCAATAACTCCTGAAGCGTTCGCCTGAGATTCCATCGTTCCATGTGGGCAATCAAGGGTTTACCCTCTCCGCAAAGTCCTCTACCTCAGAGGTCAGCGACATAGACACCGCACCGTGCTTCAGTGCGAGCTTCTGAGAAAGGAGCGGGGAAATTAAAGACTCGACCGGAAGCGGAAATCGCCGCCAATCTACTTAGGCGGGCGGCGCCGAGCCTTTCATTGGCAGCTATGAGCCTGCCGGGACGCAATCACCGGGTGAGATAATTTAGAGCGCTCGTGTCGAGCCCAGCGTCGCAGCCGGCGACTCCGCGTGACCCCGTGCACCTAGAACTCCGCCGCCCGTCGCTAGGTGGCACTGGTCGACTACACTGCTGCTCTTGAGGCAGAGCTGACCTCCAGTGAAAGTGGCTTGGCTTTCCACAACGAAAAGGCCGCAGAATCACGCGTTCTACAATTCAGAGCCAAATATTCTATTCAAAAGGATGAGAACACACTTCGGCTAAAAGGAGCGATGACGATGGGAATGACTGACGATTACTGCTAACAGCACATATATTTCTGAAAATTGGATGGGACAAACTGCTGTGTCCACCCAGTTTGATGTGGATTCTGATTATGCGTGTGTTTTAGCGGACAGTACGTCGTCTTCCTAATCTCTCTTTAGGTCGAACTCACAGACCTTTCACTTGAAGTAGATTTTTTTCTGTTCGAGTATCTATGTCAAACCCCAGATTTGTTTGTACAATTATGTGTTACATTTGCACGAGCGTAGAGCGTCTTCCTGTAGCTCCATTCGCACACCACACACAAGGTGTTTAAGTAAACCCACTGGCGATAAAACAACTATTTCAAACGTTTTCGCGGATGCTACGGCTTTCAACTGCGATGGTGAAAATCGAATCGCTACAGCCTGCAGCTGGACCTGTAAATTGCTGCAATTAGCGGTTCGCAATCCCGCCAGACTGGTCTGATGTCATTGAGCCAGAGCTGGCGAATCTTAGACCGCAAAGGCGACAACGATCTTTCGGGGGCGGCTGACGGTGGTCACGGAAGTCACGTGTGTGTTCTGTCACACATCGCCCACCTATCCGCCTTTTCCGCATCTCACTCACACCACGACCGGCCGTAATCCGCGGTAGTTCCGCCACCTGAGATCCTAGGCCCCCTCACCGGTCCCCAGCGACCGAGGTTCCGGAACCCACTCACCAGTCCACCAGCGGCACTGGATTCCGGGCCCCACTCAGCCGTTCCCCCAGCGGCCCGTAGTCCTGGGACTCATTCACCGGTCTCCAGCAGCTCGGGGTCGGGACCCAGTCACCGGTCCCCAGCAGCCCGTGGTCCCGGGCCCAATCAGCGGTCGTCAGCAGCCCCCGGCCCAGTCACCGGTCCCAGCTGCCCAGCGGTCAACTCACCGGTTACTTCGTCGGTGCCACGCCGGTGCCGCTCCCCGCCGTGGTGGTTCGGGTCGTACAGGCTCAGCAGGTGCACCAGCTCGTGCTTGGTCTCCTGGATCACCACGTTCAGCCACACGCAGAGATTGGTGCCCACCATGTGCATCAGGCCGAACCGCGCCAGCAGCTTGTGCTTGTTAATTGACATCTGCAAGCGACGGGCTCTTAGTCCGCCTGGGGTGCGCAGTGCATTAGGCGCACGACGGGCCATATTTTCGGTTTTCTGTCGCTAAAGGGCTGACGACCATGGGTGTGTTATTTAACATTTCAGGGATGCAGACAGACGTTACTTACCCTGGTATCATAAAACACCACGGCGACGATGCGACGATTGGTCGAAGTGCTGCTAGAATACGAAATGCCACATCAGATAAGCGACGAAACCAGGTATGGCTCGAAATAGGTATACAAAGAGGAAAAAAAACACGGAATGGGCTGGGCTAGCACGCGAGCGTCGAGCAAGTATGTTGTGTTACCAGGCACTCGGCTGCCGCAAACGGTGTTAGCGTAGCTGTATTGTTTTCACAACAGCATCGGGGTACATTGAGGTCCGCTATGTTCGAAACACAATATCCAAAGAGTGAGAGAGAGAGAGAGAGAGAGAGAGAGAGAGAGAGAGAGAGAGAGAGAGAGAGAGAGAGAGAGAGAGAGAGAGAGAGAGAGAGAGAGAGAGAGAGAGAGAGAGAGAGAGAGAGAGAGAGAGAGAGAGAGAGAGAGAGAGAGAGAGAGAGAGAGAGAGAGAGAGAGAGAGAGAGAGAGAGAGAGAGAGAGAGAGAGAGAGAGAGAGAGAGAGAGAGAGAGAGAGAGAGAGAGAGAGAGAGAGAGAGAGAGAGAGAGAGAGAGAGAGAGAGAGAGAGAGAGAGAGAGAGAGAGAGAGAGAGAGAGAGAGAGAGAGAGAGAGAGAGAGAGAGAGAGAGAGAGAGAGAGAGAGAGAGAGAGAGAGAGAGAGAGAGAGAGAGAGAGAGAGAGAGAGAGAGAGAGAGAGAGAGAGAGAGAGAGAAACGATGCATTCATTGGTTGGCAGTTCGAGTCACTCAGCCAGCTAGGCATGTTTGTGACCAGACAGGCTTTGGAAGTGAAGCAGCCATGGCTTGCATCTGTCACATGTCTGAGCCACAGTGTGCTCGGGGCAATACAGATATGTATCCGTTGCATGCGTTGCGCATAATCAGCCCTCTTGGAAACTGCCAGACCGCTTGGGCAGGGCATAATATGCATGATAATTGATGAGCTTCCTCTCTGACATTTCAGCGGTCCTGTAAACTATCTCGGCAGCGTGCAACCAAAAAGAATAAGCGTATTCGTAACCGTATGCTGATAATAACGGAATTGAACATTATAACGGAATCCGTACGTTGCTATGGCCATTTGAATTATCATGCTGCCTTTACCGAAATTGAGTATACCAGAAAGCACTGCTAACTAGATGATGCTGCTTTGCTCACAGCTCGTCACCGTAAACACTGCTGGAAAGCTGATCATCCTTATAACACGTCTAAATGATGCGTTCAAAAGCATGATCAGATAACTGTGTCATATCTTTTTTAGCGAGCATCTCCGGCTACACTAAAGGTCGATTGTTCTCTGATATGTAATTAAGATATATCCAACCCTATATCGTGACAGCCGGTGTCAGAGGTGTATGCTTTATAGGCGCGAATGAGAGACTGCAAGCCCCGTGAGTTAACATGCTCCCGGGTGGCCAGCTAGATACCCTTCGCTCGGGTGGAGTGGATGGGGGGGGGTCAATTCGACCCCCTGAGATCTCGGGCACTAAAAGGCTAGACATGCCAAATTTACAGGTTGTCTTGACCTGTACGTGAACTCATTCAGGTCAAAGTTGCAGGTTCCTAGGTCATGACCTTCAGGTCAAATAAGGTCAAATAAGGTAAATTTCAGGTTGGTCTCCAAAAAGCCCCCAGAACCAAGGCAACTGTATTTAAGCAAAAGGCCGCAAGCCCATTTGAGATCAGTGACCTTGTTTGACCTTTTGAAGGTCATAGTGACTAGAATCAAACAAGACTGCTCTGATTTTTGCCTTTGAATAAGCGACAAAGATCACGCTAGGTAGCATGCTCCTAAAACAAAACGTCGATCCGGGTCATCTTAGATCAATGACCTGTTCTGACCTCTAAGAAGTTCCTAGTTCCTCCAAGTTCCTCTAAGAAGTTCTGCGGTTCCTGCCTGTCAATAAATTTGAAATGAGCACCAGAAACCATCTCATACAGCAAGCCTCAGAGTAATAAATCAGGTTGGTTTTTACCTTGGCCTGACGCTCGTACCTGACCCTAGGTCAGCTTGATTTGCTCATTCAATATTTGTGATGCCTAAGAAGGCATCTCAGAGATGTATGGCTTCATCAAACACTCCGTTGTTGTATCAAATTAAACGATTCTGTGGAAATTGCCTTCGCTGAAACCATGCCCTGACGTTGACCTTCCACAGGACAGCGACCTTACAAGGTACATCTAAATATTGTTTATATCTAACGATCTGCTATTTAATTGTCTACAGCTATGCAAGATTTGGTGCGGCTACGTCGCGCCGTTCGGAAACCATTCTGAAAAAATCTTCGGGGGGGGAATTTGACCCCCACCCGAGCGCGTGTTAACGCAGCGATTTCTAGCAATAGCTGATTACGAACTGTGCAGCACAGCAAAACACCAATAACTTTGCTGGATTCGTCATATTTCACCGTTTACTGGTTATTAGTCACGCTACATGTCGCAAGATGGTGTGATAAATTCAGTATACTGCCCATGGCAATTCCTAATCAAACTAACATTGGTAAGGGGCATCACAAAACGTTGCTGAGTTTAATTTGCTCATGCACTAACTCAAGTTTGCTTTGGATGTTGGACCCGACCTACAACGCTGGAACTTCTCACCCATTGACAGCTCAATGTCAAGCGAAGCCTAACTCGATAGGTGTCAAGATTATGTGCGGGGATGTGGTTTTGTTTGCCTTACGTACAACATCAATGTAAAGTGCACGATGCAATCATATTTTCCAAAAGTGGAGCCGTTATTTGCGTCTGATTTCCACCACACACGGGTTGAATGGAATGCAAGAAGTTGCATCAATTTATGAGACAGGCGATATCAAATCAACCGAATTTGCCGGGGCGCATACTGTGCTCAGCATAAATAAAAACACGTGGACTTTGACGCGGGGTAGTTATTTTTGTAATGGTATATTCCTAGGCCGGCCACTCACCAGGAAAGGCCGGTCCGGGCCGGTAGGTAGCATTATAAATTGACACGATCATATGCAGACTAGTGCAGGGCTTTCAGTCATCCTGACCAAGGCTAGCATGCCAGGATTTTGTCTGGGTGTCTGGATGGTGAGGTCAGTGGTTTAGTCGCTATTATGGAAAGAGCCAACCTGAATAGTCATCAGAAGAGACTCAAACCCCTACACATCATTATCACAATGTCATGCCCAATTTCCGTGCTTACTTTATGAGAACGAGGACGGAGGCCGAGCCTACGCCACGAGGTGTAACTACTTGCCAGGTGGGTCACGGGCCTCTTACGACGTAAGTCCCAAGGCCGGAGCCACCCACCACCTGTTTACAGCGCGCGCTCCCAACGTTTGCTTGACCTTGAATGAAGTGACACTCACGCTGGCGTTTAGGAAGACGAAGTACATCTGTATGAAGATGAAGGCGAGACGCAGTCCTGGGGTGACGGCACGTAGCACGTTGCCGCACTCGGCCTTGTGGGTCGCTTCGAAGTACTGGCCCATTTCTAAGCCCGAGTAGATCATGCTGCCGATGCCGAACACTGGCAACAAACGCATCGCGTGCAGATCAGCGCGCCGCTACACAAATAAGATGGCTATCCACGCTAAGCACTTTGATGCGGCAGGTTGTAAAAGGTACTGCCAAGTCTGGCATTGGGACGAGGTACGCTTACACACTTGTCGACTGGGCCGATAAGGTGTGGCGGTCATATGATTTACGGATCAAATACCATGATGTATCAAACACAGCGCGACGTCCCGCGTGAACGGGCGATAGTTGATTGTGATTTCACACGAGCAACAGCTAGGCCTATGTTTCCGAGGTCAGAATCTCGCGTCAAACCCTGCATGCCTTCGCGGTATCTATTCTATGGGGGTTTTGGCAACATCCTTGGGAGCACGATTTTCAATTTTACCGTAATATTATTAGACAGGGATGCTGTTAGCGCTCTCACGCTAGTATTCGACAGGAATACAGTTTGCGGCGAAATGTGAAAGACATTAAAAGTAAAACAGGCGAGAACAAAAACTACCATCAGGTTTGTCAAAATCACCATCAAATCTTTTACCGGATTCTTTTGTTTCTTCGTCGTGTGCCTATCCGTGATTTCACGTTTGCGACTTTGGTTCCATGTGACCCAATTATAAAGTACCAAACACGTGAAATGATAAATGAGTACATCATAGTACAACCAAAACGCTCCCGGAATAATCCTTGCATCTCTTGATAAGCTTGACGACATGCAAGGGGCCTCCCCCCCTTTTATTCTGGTTTTCATGCACTTCAGATTCAGTACCAAATTGGGTCCCTGACTAATAGCGCAGGCGTGGAAAGGGCTATTTGGTATCATGGCTGAAATATCCGGAACTGAAATTTAGACGGGGGTAAAATCAATGAAATGTCGCCACATCCATAAAAATATCCAACACATTTAATCTGGAAGCGTTTTTGTGTTTGTACCATGAAGTGCTCTGCTATTTCATTTTAGCGAGACTTGGTGTTCGGTGCCATGGGACCAAGTTGACAGGCGTAAAACGACGAATAGGCACATGATGACAAAACGAAAACGTTTCCAAGGCAACATTCATCCGGTAAGATGATAAAAATGACCGCAAAACATGGATTTTACCCCTGTGTATTTCAGTCTTCGAGCGTGTTACATTTTTCCAGGCTGTGTCCCCGCTTTTTTTTAGAAATGTGATTCAAACACTTTGAATGGATGGATTTCTGGGATCAGTGCTCACGCTAAGCAGTGCTTGTCGTGTGAGCACTGACCCCTACCATCCGATCGCGCAATTCCAGGCAACGGCAGAATTTAGTGGCGGAAGCTTAACGTGCCGCAATGCTCGGCACGGTCCGTCCTGCCCCCTGATGTCAACTGACCTATAGCGCGACCGCTGCCATCACAAATAGCGAGTGCCTAAAGCGACTCAAACCCACCCCGCCACGGGTGGGTGAACCGGGAGGCAGGTGCTCTAACCAACTGAGCCACCGAGACTGCCCTGTGCTGAGAAAGTGAGCTCGTAGTATCACCAGGCCTGTGCTCCATTAGGTACCCGAAATCCCTCCCCCTCAGAGACCAGTTCCTCGCGGACCAATCCCATCCTTCAGCGTGACATCTCCGGACAGCGCCGCTCCTCCGGCCGTGCACTCACAGACGGCGCCCATCCTCAGGTAGAAGCTGCCGTAGCTGGCCACCAGCACCATGTACGGCTTGTGGTGGGACGTCTTGCTGACCTGGCTGGCGGTCTCCGGGTCGCGGCGGGCCTCCGTGGAGACGCGAGATTCCATGCGCAGCAGGCGCCCTGTCCGCGGGTCGTCGGTCACACAGCAGCCGGCCGTGGCGCACACCCCCAATGGCTTCAACAGCGGATGGTCTGTGTCCAGCAAGGCTGGGCTCGATTCCATTAGTTAGTTGCGCATCTCACCGGCTATGGCTGAAGCCCGAGTAGATTAGTCTGGTTACGCCAAAATATTAGGGGCATGGCTTCGTTAACGGAAACTACCAGCCTTGGGAAACCATCTGCAATATGTGCGAGGACCTGTAAAACTCAGTATATGATGCTAGGAAGTCCATTCGGGACACCTGCAAGATAGGTAAGCAAGCAATTTTGACTAAATTAGAAGCATATAAAGGCTCGCCGACATCGCAAGGTGCAATAATTCATTATAAACACAATGGCATGAACTCATCCCCACGATGATAGAGGGAAGCTAATTTCGGAACAGATGTTGGAAAGGCCGAAACCCCAATTGGAAGCCTTTGATGCTGCTGGGATCGAGGTTCGTTCCATGTGCTACCACGCTATCACATGGCATATAGGTACAAGTGACATAATTTTCTTCTTACGTATTTTGGTGGAATTCAATTATCACAGCAAGCATGGCTTGGCCTGAGAGTATTAACGAAAGCAAATACTCGAACAAATAATGTTTGTGGGTTATGGCGAGCCCTTGCGAAAAGGAAATCCGATGAAGCATTCCAAACGCAAATTTGTCTCCAGTGAAAGATAAAAAACCTAGGCTTTGTAGTCCGAAGCGAAAGAGAGCAAACTGGATACGTCTTGGCCTCCAGTATTACATTTACACCGAAAAGGTGACATCCCCCATTTGATGTTCTAAAAGTAATCCAAAAGGCTCAGCGTAAAAACATCATTCAAAGTCTAGAAAAACACTCGCGTGGCATTGCCGCAGGGGTCGGTCAGCTATTTTAAGTGCATATCAACAGGCCCCATCCTGACCAGATTCAGCAACGCGAAAGAGGGAAAGGGAAAGATGAAAGGGTGCAGTCGCTGCACCGTGCCCATTGCCAACGGACACAACAGTAGGGTTGGAATTGCGTCGGCTGCAGAGCAGCAGTAACGCTGCCCCGCAGCCGACGCAATGGCCCTGACGTTGCCCGGCCTCGTAGGCTGACCAGCGTCAGGTACACGCTGTCCGGTCTCGGCGGCTGGACAGCGTCAGGTACACGCTGTCCCGTCTCATCGGCTGGACAGCGTCAGGCGCATGCTGTCCGGCCTCTGCGGCTGGACAGCGCCAGATACATGCTGTCCGGCCTCGGCGGGTGGACAGGGTCAGGTGCATGCTGTCCGGCCTCGGCGGCTGGACAGCGTCAGATACATGCTGTCCGGCCTCGGCGGCTGGACGGCGTCAGGTACACGCTGTCCGGCCTCGGCGGGTGGACAGCGTCAGATCGACTGGATAGCGTCAGGTACTCATCGGCTGGACAGCGTCAGGTACATGCTGTCCGGCCTCGGCGGCTAGACAGCGTCCGGTACACGCTGTCCGGTTTCGGTAGCTGGACAGCATCAGGTACACGCTGTCCGGCCTCGGCGGCTAGACAGCGTCCTGTACACGCTGTCCGGCCTCGGCGGCTGGATGATGTCAGGTACGCGCTTAGCGTCAGTTCGTGGCCGTGGTTCGATTTGATTTGCAAGCCGTGTCGTGGAGAATCCGGTTCCCGGTTCGCCGTCCGAGCAGGGTCAACGCCGACTTCAACTGATCGGTGTCAAGCATACTCAGAACTGGCGCCAGGGCACTGACCGAGAAAACACGCCGCTCCAGAGCCAAGCGGCTGATAATGGTATACCGCTTTAGCCCTTTCCTTCCCTGTACTGTAAGTACAATAATTCCTTTCCATTGAACATAATTGCAAACATGTGTTTCACTCAAGCGTTTCCTGCGACACGCCCAGTCAATGCACATGCTAATTTACGACCGTTGCAGCTGCACGAAAACCGGCGACGGGACGGGTGCCATCAAATGATTCGCACAACCAACGCTTGCATTAAGGCTGACACTACACAAGGGGGTCGCACCAAATCGCATGGACTGGGGCCCATAATAAACTTGATGAAGGTCAATGGTGGGAGTTTGAAAGGAAAGCTCGAAAGGTAAGAGTTCCACAACTTTCGCGCCGCGCGGTTAGAACGCAACAGATGTGTCTTCACCGCGGGAGGGCGGCCAGCCGAGATTAGGTCGAGTAGGGCGACCAGTCGAGATTAGGTCGAGGAGGACGACCAGCCGAGATTAGGTCGAGCCTCTCTTACACGCGTCGGTTTCGGATCTCTCTCTTTCCCTCTCTCTCTCTCTCTCGCCTCTCTCTCTCTCTCTCTCTCTCTCTCTCTCTCTCTCTCTCTCTCTCTCTCTCTCTCTCTCCTCTCTCTCTCTCTCTCTCTCTCTCTCTCTCTCTCTCTCTCTCTCTCTCTCTCTCTCTCTCTTCCCCTCTCTCACAAGTGCACATTTTCCTTGAGACCGATCACCAACGTGTATGTGAATAGCCAAGCGCGTTGGCAGCCAGTGGGCTTTGATTGAGGGCCTGAAGTCACCAAAAATAACATCGCTAGTTAAGGTGTCCGTTGTCTCCGATTCACAGCTACCTGCTGGCATTAATTACCACTCAAAACAAATCCACGACGTAAATCATACCACGGAATCATTTCCCTCGCAAATTGATCGAAAGCATTTTATACACTTTATCAGCGATGTTATGTCTTCTTATGACAATCTGATATCATAAATAGGTCAAACCACCGATATTTTATGATTTTTTGCGACAAAGACAAAAGGTGACTGTTACATGATAGCGAGATCTGGGTCATTGCCATGAAGGAAACAGCTCATAAAAGGATCGCCGCTGACGATCCTTTCTGGGGGCCAGGCCTGAGCGCGTTACAATGAAGTTCCGCCCAACGGCTTGCGCGCCCTGCTTGCGCGTAAGACTGACCAGCGCGCTGTCGCCCGGCTTGCGTGTAAGACTGACCAGCGCGCTGTCGCCCGGCTTGCGTGTAAGACTGACCAGTGCGCTGTCGCCCGGCTTGTGTGTAAGACTGACCAGCGCGCTGTCGCCCTGCTTGTGTGAAGTCTGACCAGCTCGCTGTTGCCCTCAGAGGTCTTCACGGATCCGTTAAAACCATGGATATCGGGTAATTATATATGATGGGTGAGGAGACACTCGGTTATGTGCCTTTCGAAAATTACAGGGATGTGCATAGGCATACACGTACTGGCAAGCTTCGCGAAATATCGGGTAGGCACTTGAACAAACGCCACAAACTATGGCCAGAGTTTTTTCTTTGTCATAGATAGCTGCATTGGCATGACGACTTAATTTGTCAGAGCAAGTAAAGAGAATCTAGGAGTAGTCACTTCATGTTTTCATGATCTGAGTACAAATACTGGAAATGGCTAACGATGGCAGTCGGGGAAATAAGGAAATGACAGCGAATGCCCTGGAAATTAAGATTTCCTACTGAAGGTAATTATAGTCGACTTCAAGCCTTCACAAGCATCTCCAACCCGTCTGGTGAACCGTAGTTAGATGCGGAATACCTGACCTTGAACTCTACCCCCTATCGGGCCCTATCTAATGAAGCCAGCCTTACGACCCTGTCAGCCCACTGCCACACCGGGCTGCGGCACAGGCTCCTGTAAGCGGGCACTCCAGCGATGCTCAGCTTCCTCCCCTGCCCGGCTTTCGCTGCGTGGCTCAGTCGAGCAAGTAGAACTAAGAAGGAAGCTCACCTATTCGGTTGATGCTGGCGCTGGACATTTTGGACAGCTTGGACGTAGACCCAGCGTCCGTCACGGTGGCATCTTTCAGCAAGAATATGTAGACGTAGAGCAGAAACAGAATGCTGGCGCCATACAGGTATATGTAGAAAACCTGAAAAGTGAGTGAATCCATTAGCTTTTCCCCCCCGGAAGTAAAACGTTCACTACAACAAATACAACGTACCAACGACGCTTTAAGACATTTCTTAAAGCTGCAGAAGTATGCTAGTTTCGATCACATGTCCAGAGGCAAATTATCTGCCCCTCTTCCGTTTTCTCCCGTTTTCTCCCGTTTTCTGTGCTCCTAGTCATGCTAGAACCATGAAATGCTCAGGAAGTAATTGCTGGGCGATGACCAAGCTTTCTACAACCATAGATCAGAGAATGCAGGGTCAAACTAGACCATCAGTGGAAACTCTCTGCTGCCCCTCTCAACAGTGAGGGGCAAAAGCGCTCCAATGCTGAGCCCCTCCCCCTCCCCGTAAGACGCTAAGCGCAATGCCGAAGTGACTGGAAATGACCCATGAGAAATCCTGAGAGCTCTCTCGCCTCCACATGCAGGCTTTGTCCATGCACGCAGCTAAACTTTCCCTATGAGAGGAAGATGGCGGAGAATACCAAACTTTCTCCGCAATTCTGAGTTTTTAACCGAATTCTCGCGAAACCGCGCTGCATCAAACGCAAAATTTTTGACTAATGGGGGGGGGGCATGACCCCTGTAGCCCTCTTGGCTAGGTCCCTGGTTTGTATCACCATTGTAGGCTTTTTACGAAGTTCCACTAATACTAGAAACTTGGCAAAGAGAACAGTAGGCTGAAAATGCGCAATGCTTAACTGAGATCGCTTACAGCAAAACTCGAACTTAAAATGACTAGCCGGCTCCTGTTCATGCATCTCGAAACATCTATGTCCGGAGGGTCGTGGATGTCCATGGTCACCATGATCCAGGTGATGGCTTTAGTGCGTAGTGGATACTCACCTCGTAATAGAACGGCGGTATGTTGGACGAGATCACCTCGGAGAGCGGAAAGGCCAGGCCGATCACCACCAGCAGCTTACAGTAGAGGGCGCTGACGATCACCACTAGCGAGTCGCTGAAACACGGCAGCACCCAGGGAAGCGTTGGTCAGGCACGAGATGCAGACGGGAGAAGGAGTCAGACAATGATGCATAACGAGCAGCAACGGAAAAGTGAAAGAAGTGAAACAGGAAAAGGAAAGCAAGGGCGATGGTGAGAGAGGAGGTGAAAAAAGAAAAAAATGCAAGGAAGAAAGGAGAAAAGGAAGGAAGGAAGGAAGGGGAGGAAGAAAGAAAGGAAGGAAGGGAAGGAAGGAAGAAAGGAAGGAAGTAAGGAAGGAAGGGAGTAAGGAAGCAGGGAAAGAAGGAAGAATAAAATAAAACTGAAAAAGAAGAAAGGGAGGGAGGCAGAAAAGGCAGATAGAAGGGGGCGGGGGTGGGGGTGGGATATGGGGGGGGGGGGGGGGCAGCAGCGGGTGATGAAAGCGTATCAGAAATCCGTTCCAGCATCGGCCACCTTTCAGCGGTGCCCACCTATTGGTGACGGGATAGGTGATCCAGCGTGACCCGGTGTCCGTCTGTTCGGAGACTGATGACACGCGGGATACCATCGATGCGCTGTCGCCCATCACCATCGACTCGTCGTCGAGGCCGAAGCTGACGGAACGTTGGCGGGTAGGGGTGGGGACGTCCAGTAGGGAGAGACCCTCCTGCGGTGTGATGTTGCCGTCATATTCTGACTCCACGTCTGGAAAAGAGGCCTGTAGTCCCAAGTCGGCATCCTGGGGGCCTGAGTCGCCATGCTGGGGGCCGGAGTCGGCCGGCTTGTAGTTTTTAGAGCCGGATGTTTGGGACTCGGAGTCCGACGCTTTGAGGATGGATTCGGCCGGCTTGAGCCCGGATTCGGCCGGCTTGAGCCCGGAGTCGGCCGGCTTGAAACCGGTGCCGGTCAGTTTGAGCCCGGTGTCAGTCGGTTGGAGTTCGGGGTCGTCCGGCTGTAGTTGGGCTCGGAGCAGGCGCGCCCTCTGCACGGCGCGCATGGCCGACTGCTTGAGGTCGGCCGGCTTCATGGAGAGGTGCGACTCCGGCACGACGTCGCCGTCATCCGTCGACTCGGTGGGGCTCGCTGCTGAGGACTTGGGCTCTCCAAAGGCGGCCGCTTGCGGCGGTTGCAACGGCGACTCACGTGACGGCGTGGGGTCAGGCTGGCCAATCGGACTTGAGCTGGCTATGGGAACAACCGGCGTGACCTCCGATGACAGGGGCGTCTTCCGTTCAGTGGCGATGGCAGCAGGGTCTGGCTTGTCTGCCTTTGAGGCCTTCTCCCCTGCGCCGCTTACGGCAAGGTCAACCGGCAACAGTGAGCCATTGATGCAGATATCAGGGGTCCTCATGGTCGGTGGGCTCGGTTCCTGGCCGTTGTTCTGGAGCCGGTCGAAGGCAAACGGCGATGGCCTATTGGTCAAAACACGCATGTCGAACCTAGACGGCATGATCAGTCAAATCTTGCTTGACCGAACAACAGTTGTTTTTTTCCGAAAAGGGAGTGGTGAAATTCACGCTGTCCCCAGTTATGCAACTCGATTGCTATCTTGTCCCAATTGTGCTGAGAACGACGGCGAGCTCACGATGCTTCCTCTTAAGTATCTCAGCGAACTTCTCAGAACCCGTTAGTCAGTTCCGGGACAACGATGACAGTTGGGAAGCAAACCTCCAATGTCAGGTACGGATTCTCGCAGGGCCTTGGCACGCAACACCGACCGCTCGTTGTCTCAGGGTCTTCCTCTCCACGTCGGTATACCCGGTCCAGTCCTGCGGTACACCTGGTCCAGTCCACACGGTACCCGGGGTCCGTGACCAGGCACCGGCTCCCAACAACAAACGTCTCGACCGTTCCGGCACCCGCTCTGACCACAGCTGCCTGGCCAACTGGCCACGCACTGTTCACCTCGGCGGACTGCGCACTGTCCGCGGTGCCTCCGCCGCTGCTGAGCGTGCTACTGGACGGCCGGTTTCAAACGGGAAAGTTGGAACCCTGGCCCCGCGGCGCCACCACTCCCTGTATACCGCGCTTGTCGCGATATCGGTACACGAAGGTCGTGATGACGTTCGCAAAGGCGAGAATGTCTTTTTAAGGACGGCTGACGTCAGTATCGCCGCCCTCAGACGGCGCTGGGGCCTGCGGTACTACACACTTTACATCTTTGCACGTCAGGATGCAGCGACGATAGGCTGCATGTGGCGTTGACACAATGAACAGCGGTGTTTTGAAGGCTTAAACGAAACATGAACATTGGACCCGGTTTCCAACTCAGACGAACAGAACGCAATCATCAATGAGCTGCGTATATTGACATTTAAAAAGTCATTAATTGCAGAGCGTATGGTGGAAGTTTCAGGACGATGTTAAAGCTACGGAAGTGGATAAGTGCATGTTCTTCTTATCATGAGACCATCTGGGGAGGGGTATCCATTTCTGAATTCCTGGAATCGCTCCCAGATCGTCCCACATGGGTCCCTCAGATTGCTGGCAACTAACGAGTGACCAGTCTCACATCTTTCGGAGTGAAGAACATCCAGTAATAAGTCAAGGCAGCGAATGATGTCGTCGTTGTTGAAGGCCGGCACGGCGACTTTTGCCTTCACACACAGCGACTCGCAGCTACTCTTCTCGTTTTGGATTGCTGTCATGAAATTCATCGATTGGTTTGATCGCCTGCCCATCAGGGTCATTCAAGTTATATAAGGTCACGCTTGGTCATCGGCAGCCATGTGAGGTCAACTTACAGAAATTGTATGATTGATCTTTTACGTAATTTATGGAACATACGTCGGCACAGCAGACGCATTTGTACACAAATTACTAAGCATTAGGGTGTGTCATCGAGGGGGTGAATCTCTTTGAATCAGCTGAGACAAAGTTTTTCCTTGGCACACGGGTTAATGATAAGCCTTCAGGTCTGTCGCACCGCACCGATGTTGATATTCGTGAGGCAAGAGCAGTTTTTCTTTCATAGGCCAAGAAAACCGCATTTGGTACTAGCGCCACCTATTTTACGCACTGGGATCATCCTCCAACAAGCCTCAGAGCTGCCACTTTCCACACTACTGGTACTTGGCAGATTAAGCATGAAATAATATCATGAATAGTACAAGCAAAACATTGCCAAACAGTTTTTGAGCCAACTTCTTAGTAAAGGACATTATTTTTTGGTAAAACTCAAAGCTGTGGAGTTATGAGAATGCCCCAGCAGACCGGGTTAGGCTCAAGTTTGTTATTGCTAACCTATCATTGTGAAGTTGATCTGCAATTTATGTGCTTTGTGCGCGGGAGATACGGGCTTGTTAGTTTAGTTTCGCCGGTACTGAAATATTTCTTTCGAACAATTACTTGCATGAGCATACCAAAGGCTACGCGGTCGCGCACAAAACATTTTGTGACAGGCCACCCGGCTCTACTGTCCCACCACCAGCTGCCGACTACGGGAAAGCCTTGAGCTGCATCAGGTGACTGAGCGAAAACTGCATCTGCGTCAGGCGACAGGTGACTCCGTCCGGAACAGCTGCTGCTGGACATGGTGTGGGATGAGAAGCGCATGGTCCGCGAACAGGCGGTTCCGGTCGTTGCGCCTCTCGTGAGCAGCAAACCGAGGGTCTTCTTCAGCCCAGGGTCTTCGTCATCTCAGCGGTAAACTTCGAGGCCGTGAGATACACCGAACTGATTCCCAGGCACGGACCAGTCACACAGCCCCCACTGCGAAACCTCAGCGACTGCGTGCTGCGGAACAAAGTGCAAGCACCGCTGGCCATCTTGCCCTATCTGGTTCACGCTAAGAGCGCGACGCAGCGCTGCACTGCCGAGGACGTCTGGGGCTGGACCTGGAGCTTCGGCAATATGTGGAGCCCAACTGCAAAGATATTTCTGCTACCGTGGGATATTTGCCAACGCGCGTTTTGGGTTTCCAGTCTGTGAGCAGTTGCTGTTTGGGCCGGTGCATCGACTACACAGGCTCAGCAAGGAGCAAGATGTGCATGGGGTCACCCTACCGCCGCCCCCCCCCCCCCCGCCCTCTGTACGTCCGTGGTGCAGGGTGCAGAACTTGCTGTATGTATTAAGTTGTACACCAAACAATATATTCTTAGTCATATCCTATACATAGTTTTGTTTGCATCACGTGAGTTGTCTTAGAGAAGTGGAAGTCTAAAGCAAAACTAACCAGGATGTTCGTACAACGAGTTCATGCTCAACAGCTCGTAAAGTTTGCGCCAACAGGCAATCAATCGGGCAATGTCTGATCCGCATATTAGACTTTAGACCGGGTCATTATTGTACGACGGCTTAAGGAGCGCTCAGTGCCATCGTTTCTTCACACAAATGCATTTTGTGTCGCTTGCCGCCCACGGATTGGTGTTACCTGCGGCAGTGGACTCCGCCCAGCATTGGCCGACTGCAACGCCGGGCTCCGGTTTACGGCGATATTTCGATCGACTCGCGCCTCACGAGTTTAAGCTTTTGGTGACACCCTTTGCTATGCCGTGCACTTTTGGGCTCCAGCGCCAAATAATTTCTCTGTCTCACTTGGTTTGGTTACTGATGGCATACCCTACTAAGCATATACGTGTGGAACGGAAAAGTGAAACGTGGATTCAGTGAGTTGAACTGGCTATGACATGTCGTGAAATTAAACCTAATTGAAGTTGGCCTGCCAAGACCTTGACCTAGCCTGATCTTACCCGAGCTTGACAGTAAGCATTAACCTTTGTTCACATGATGGCATTATCATGCAGCACAATAACACATTCCATCGTCTGGTCTGTTACAAAACAGCAAAAAGTATTTTACGGGGTTAGGGGGTTCTGAAATTGCTAAGGATTTTGACGATGTTTGAGGCATGTTGCGTATGACCTTGATCAAGGCTGTAAATTAACGCCCGAAATGTTGTTTTTTCCCGACGAGTTGGATTCCGAGAAGCCAGGGGGCATAACTCTGCGCCCCCTCCCCCACTTTTTACCCCACCCCTTAAAGTTGGTGGTTGGTGGAATGCCCCATGGGGGCCGATATAAACAAATTCACTGTATGAACTTGGCGACTGCAAGATGTTTGGTTGTTTGCTGTCTTTGAAAGGTTGTAAATGGAGACGGTAAAGATTAGTGTTGATGATGATGAGCCCAAATACAAATGACAGGTATTGTAAACCCTCTTCTAGCCAGAAGACTCCAACCAACACCGACGAGACACAAGAAACCGACTACCAACACCGACTACAGTGGAATCCCGCTCTCTACTAGCTCCCACTGAGATTCAGTACTATTAAGCACCACTCTTTGTTCCCTGCCTTGCATCCAAGTCCCTACCCAGCCAAGCATTTTCCCCTCAATACCGAGTGATTTTAACTAAGCAAAGAGACGCTGGTGTGGCACCCTATCAAATGCCCTCATATCTAGATGAAAATCTTAAGATGTCTAAGAAGCAACAATGCTCCTGAACTGAAGATCAACAGTTTAAACCCACATACTAAATGACTCGCAACATGCTCCTGGAACTCGGGAAGTTTCTAACAGGCTCTCTTCTACACAAGGACCTACATAAATAAACTTCTCTCTCTTCCCATCTCTCTCTCTCTCTTCGTCTCTCTCTTCCTCTCTCTCTCTCTCTCTCTCTATCTCTATCTCTCTCTCTCTCTCTTTATCTCTCTCTCTCTCTGCTCTCTCCTCGCTCTCTCCTCTCTCTCTCCTCCTCTCTCTCTCTCTCTCTTCTCTCTCCTCTCTCTCTCTCTACTCTCTCTCTCTCTCTCTTTCTCTTCTCTCTTATCTCTTTCTCTCTCTATTCCTCTCTCTCTCTCTCTCTCTCTCTCTCTCTCTCTCTTGATCTCGATCTCGTAAGTGCTTAGCCTCTGCGATTCGCGTGCTTTATCTGATAATTGCTATCTGGTAAGTGGGCGGTCATTCTCATGACTTCCTTGCGGCTACTGAATTCGCATTGGTGATGGAAAATCGCCAGTGAGGAATTCACGCGCTGACCGCATGATCCCAACTGGCACTATTTACACCACAACTGGGCGTCCTCTACATGGTGGTTATGATATCAACGAGCATTGGCAGCCGCCGCGTCCATTTCCAGATGTAATGGGGTGGACATCCTACTCCTTCAATTCTGAAACTTTTGAAAATCACATCAGAATATTCGTCCGCCTCTCAAACCACAACATGTCAGCATGAACTTTTTCAGAACAGCCATAGCTGTCGTTGCTGTCATCGCATGTCGGCGTCTGCCATTCGCATACCACATGGCGGGTCATGGGGCAATACAATGTGCTTTGCGATGGTGGAAGTAGGCGACGCGTAGCAACGGCTTTACTATCTCCAGGAATTGCGGTTGCTATTTTACAACGAACATCGAGAGCTAGTAGCAAATATTCCCTACATATGTCGATATTGACACAGTAAAACCGGACCCAGTCATAAACGTGCTGATGCGACCAACTTCGGTCAGCCTCTCTTAAGTGCTTGGCAGCGCGCAAAGGAGAATTAATGTCACGACGTCACGTATCGGACGACAAATCTGCACTTTCGGCACAGCTTCCTACTGCCTTACAAGTGGTACGACGTTTGTGGACAGGCAATACGAATAGTACAAATCGCACTGGCAACCCCTGAGCCTCGGACGCTGTCAGTGCCTGCTCTGCCGCTTTGGAATGATGACGATGTATGCAGGAGTGTCTCGCGACACTCACGCCGACACTCGCTTTTCCGAGAGGGATCATGACAGGGGACACAAGCCGTATGACGTAGGAGCGGTCCATGCGCGCGATCCGCTGCGGGGGGGGGGGAGAAATACCCACGACTGAAAGGTCGCTGATCTGATTCGGCACACTCCTGGGGTGTGGCAGTCGTGTTCCGGACTTATCCGGAGTGTTCTCGCTACCGATATATGCGACGGGTTTCAGCAGGCTGGGAGCATGCCTAGGTCTCAGTCTTACTCAGGGAGTGGATTATATGCTTATGGTGTCTTGGGATTCGGGCTCAAATGAGTGTATTCGTTCCCTAGAAGAATCAGACTCAGAATTGAACTTTCATCAAATAGCAGTGGACCTCGGACCCAGCTAAATCCTAAACGATTGCGGGTCAGCTTTCGGCTCAAGAGCTCACGCACATGGGAAGAGGCGAACGCCCGCAGTCTAGCGGGTGACAGCTGAAACAGGGATGCTGCAGCTAGAGTTTCGGAACCAACTGCAATAGTTTTCAAGGTTACTGGTTATCATTTGCTCATGATCTGCTAAGGCATTCTTTATCGCAAATGGGTGTGAGATAGCCCAAGACAGTACATCGAGTGGGATACATCTGTTTCGATGGTCTTCACATTCCTCGGAGATCTCTACACCTTGAAATGACTCTTAGGACGCGGTCTGATTAACGCCTGCATCAAAAAAACTCATAAACACGACACGCCAACTTGTAAAGAACATACTACTTGCCGCTAAAAACATCATGGCGCAAGGAGCGGATTAGCAAAGGTGCCGCCCAAGGCCGGAGCTTCAAACCTTTCCATGACGTAAAGAGCAGATTAGCAAAGGTGCAGCTCGAGGCCGGAGCTTCAAACCTTCCATGGCGTAAGGAGCAGATTAGCAAAGATGCCGCCCGAGGCCGGAGCTTCAAACCTTCCCATGGCGTATGGAGCAGATTAGCAAAGGTGCAGCTCGAGGCCGGAGCTTCATACCTTCCCGTTAGTATGTGATAACTGCTCGTTCAGCCTTCAACATCGCTCACATTGCAAGGAAGCCCTGTTCAAGCAAACTTTAGGTTGAAAATAAGGGTTAAAGTGATGGGCCTTCCACAAACTGTGTCTAGCCACAAAAAAGGCTCACCATTCGTTTCCAATCACCAGGAATCAAAAAGCTTCACCTTTTCAAATGCCCCA